AATCATCAGATTTATTAAAGCAACAGAGGTTTAAGACTGTACAGGTATGAGCTCCTTTTCAGTTCATCAGCTAGTGGCTGCTTCAGCAGATAACAGTGCATAACCAGCCAATATTAGCTTGTTAGGCTTGTACTTGTCTTTCACTGAACATAGCAACGGTTCTTCCTGCATTTTTTCTTTGGTTTATATCAAATGAACTATAAATACATAGGTAGGATTATTATACCGAGAATGATTAGCATTTTCTTTTTGCAGTCGTAGAAATTGTTGTCATTTCCCTGTTTTAAATTAAACCAGTTACATCACGCTGTATATTTTTGTTTTCTATATTTGTCAGCTTCTAAATATTGTGAAGCCGTTGTATTTTTGGTCGAGGGAGTCATGCTGTGAGAATGTCCTATGCCTCTTCCACTGTAGGTATTTGAAAATGTCATAAAACATATTCAAGAACGTTTTTATCTTTACGTTTAAATGCAATAGTTTTTAAATAAACTGACATCCTGTTACCTTTTTTCCCTGTTTTTCGGCATATCCTCATCCTGGGAAACGACGGCCAGGAGTAGTTGAAAGGAGAGTCTGAGTCAGAATCCATGACTTTTGATGTGAAAGAAAAAAACCTTCATCCAAATAGCTCAGAGAGTCCCAAACATAAACGAGTGGTGCCTCATTTTACATCCATTCCCCACATGGCTGAACAGGCTCCAGACAAGCTGCGGCTCTCGCTCTTGTTTTTCCAGAGCCCCACTGTAGAGTCTGACACTTCAAGAGTGAGCCAGCATGTTCCCCTCTGTCTCCTCTAACCACCCCTCCCCCTAAAATCCTCGCCTCCCCCCTGCCTCAACCCGTCCAACAGAGCTAGGACTCAACTTTTTCATCTGCAGCCTCGTTTTTATTCTCTAATAACTTGCTGCTGCCTTTCAGTTTGTCTCAACTCTGCGTCCATGTTCTTTAGCCCGGCCACTCATAGATTGTGCTCAGTAGTGAGTGAGTGGGGAAGATATCGGCACATTCTGACAGCAGAAGGGGGAGGAGGGTCCTGACTCACTGAAGAGTGACTGAAGGAAGGAGTGAAGCAGAGAGAGAGAAAAAGAGAGAGGGAGAGAAAAAGAGAGAGGGAGAGATAGAGAGACAAAGTTGAACATAGGAGTGACTTCAGAAACTGCAGGAAAAAATGCGACAGGCAGCTCCAGACGTGGGAGAAATCATCAACCCACTGAGTTCGTGATCGTCTCAAAGACAAGCCGCTCTGCAGCTGAGTCCAAACATGCCACATCCGACCAGAGTTCCCCTCTAGCAGTCCACCTTCTCGTTCTTTATATTTTAGCATGTCAAAGCTGAGATGGGGGTGGGGAGGGGGACTGCCAGGTCAGCAGCCTCACCATGGAGACAGCAGTGAGAGCCGCTGCTGTTTTCTTCTTCCACGTTGCTGCTCTCCTACTTTTTCCTCTTGCTGACGACCTGCAGGGGCACGAACAGCGCAGCAACCCAGAGGCAAGTAAAAATCCTCCAAATGGGCTGGTTAAAGAGAGTTTAAGAGAGAAATTGGACAATGGTTCTGCAGAAAGAGGCCAAACGCATGTTTATGAATGCACATAAATTTAAGAATGTGATAAAAAAAAAGGACAGGAAGGGCTTAGGAGGGAAAGTATCTGCTGAGAAGAGAGAAAGAGCCACACTGTGGCTGCAGAAAAAAGTTGTATGCGTGCGTGTGCATGTGTGTGTATGGAGAAGGCTGCTGGAGGATGTTGGCACTGTACTGGTGCACATTAATGCTGGCCTTTGTGGGGTCTGTGTGGGGTTTAATCCTTTTTTCCAGTCTCCAATTAGATCCCTCGGTTGGGGTCGAGGAGCTGGAGGAGGGGGGCTGATCTTGTTGGGGCTCCCGGCATTGCACTTATCGTTTCTTGTCACTTCACCAAACTATCCCTATCATAAATCCCTTTACTGTTGCTCTGTGTCTTTTCCCTGCAGCTTTAAAACTCTCTCGCTCTCATCGCCTATGGGGATCTCAATGAGCGGCTGGAAAACTGCATTCAGAAAAATCCTTGGCAACCCCCATTCAGCCACAAACACCTCTGTTAAAAAAAAAAAAAAAAAAACACCAAAAAAACTCTCCTTTGCCCCCTTTTAAAATCATTCTTCCCTTCTGTGGTTTTCTTTTTTCTCACACAAAATCATTTCCACATTCTAAGCTTCTCTCTTCATTTCATTGAGCTGTGAAGAGCCTCTCTTTAAACACAGACGTATACAGCGGAGGTTTTTGATTTGGGCAACATAAGTACTCAGGTGGGTGCAACAGGAAAATATTATATACATGAATGGATGAAAGGAGGGCTTCTTAACTAAAATACAGACCAACAGGTCTGTGAGAGCAAGAAATCAAAGAATAAATGTTCTGGATTTGATTTTTAGATTGTGTCACTCAGCTAAAATATACCTATGAGGAACATTACCGACCTGTCCATTCTTTGTAAGTGGGAATATGTGAAAAATTGATGTGTCAAATACTTATTTTTCCCAATGCACACTGACCAGTAGGAAACTTGCAGTTACGCCCAAGCGTACATTTACATGGGGCAGCAGGAAGCTGCAATCAAACCTACCTCTGCAATATTACTACTCTTCTGACAGAGATAGAGTCGCCCCAAAATTTTTGATGGACCAGCAATTTTTTTACGTAAATATGCTACACATTAACCTCAATCCAAAAACATGCAGCTCCAAGCGAAAACACTAGAGCTAGCATTAGACACAACAGCCTTGGTTCAGGTTCAGAGCAGAAACATTTAAAATCTGAGGTGGCTTATTAACATCACCTATATGTCTATTTACTGGACAGGATATCATGCAAACAGAGTTAGAAATGGAAAAACCTGCAACTATTATACATGTGATACAGTGCTAAAAATGTGATCAATTGTGATCAATGGCAAAGCTTCTCATTTTATTATTGCATCATTTCTAAAACATTTTAGTCAGAAATATACTCAAGTTCATTCGTTAATTTATTTTTGAAATTGATTGGAATGGTCAAAAACCCATTGCGTCTTCCGTCTTTAAACTTGAACAAATTAATGTGTATTTTTAATATATACTTGAACACCTGTAAAAAGTATGGCCTTGTTAATGAAGTTACAGTAAGCTGAGCGGGTGAGAAGAAGGATGACATCAGGAAGACAGGGGGAACATGACAAGTACCTTCCAAATACCACATCCCATGCTGAGGCCCCGGCTGCCCAGATTCTATCTGTCTACCTGATGACGCATATGCGCCAGTCAAACAGCATACTGCATGTGTCAACAAGCAGATGCACTCACAATGTAAGGCTCGATAGTTTGCTAAATATGTAAGGTCAGCCACTCATGATGCTCCAGAATGCCTAATGAAAAACTTAATGTCTTCAAAGGTTCAAAGAAGTGGGTGATGTTAAAGGAGACACCACATTTTATTCCAGTTACATTTTTAGAAAGCTGAAGGAGGTCAGTATTCAGAGACTTTACAAAAATATGCTAATTTAGCCAATAAAAACACATAAACTCACAGGACCAGAAACCGGAAAAACTGCACCAACTACAGAGTGTTGTCGTCCAGTTCCAAGTATTATTAACTTGTAACCACAACATTCTTACACTAAGGCATCAGTCTTCTCTGCAGCAATCAGGACAATTATTAACCCACAGGATGTTCCCAGTTTAAAGACCTTCGTTTTACTATCCAGAAGCTGCTTAGAGCAAAACCACACTCAAGCTTCTAGCATGTTATTCTAGTCCAGAGATACTCAAACCTTTTAGTACCAACACAGTAAAAAATAAATTTATTGAAATTACCACCACACTGATGGACTTATTAAACAGGACTTGGACCTTATCGGTTTTGTGCCTTCGTAGATTTGATTGTTTCCCATTGAAGCAATATTCAATGGGATGTTTGATACCAACCATTCATCTTCCTCTGATAAGCAACAATTTTAAGTAGTTTATATATATATATATATATATATATATATATATATATTCTCTTCATACACTACTGTGAGAAAATTATTACATCAATCCCATAAATAACTCATTCCAGCAGGACATTTCCTAAATTTACTCCAATTGGATTAGGGTACCATAATCTGTAATTTTTATGGGACAACTGGCTCAAACAAGAATCAGAACCAAAACAAATAAAAACAGGAAGCAGTAAAAAGTAGTTGGAAAACATTATCCAGCTGACATAAATTACATCAGATTTCCAGCTTTTTATATTTACTTTAATCCCTATTAATCATAACATTAAATGGTGAAAGGGTACAGCTGTTTTATGATGAAAACAAAACCAAGCCACAACTTTTCCTGCTCACAGTAATAACATGCACACTGCTTAATCCAGACCCTGCCATGCACTTTATTAGCTCTATCTTTTAATACTGCTTTGAGGACTTTATGCTATTTAAAACTTGTTTTGAAGGCTACAAAAAAAACAACAACAAAAAACAACTTGTTCTTCAAATCTTTAAAGTCTTTAAACCTTCAATCTGGCACCAATATCTAAAGTTTGGACATTGATTCAAAGTCTGAATACAAATGTTTGGTAATGTTGCTGCCTTACATCTATTATACAATTAATTTGTCCGATTTAGCTTGTCAATACTTGACACCAAAACTTCCTCTGAGAACCATTAAGTTACTTGCACCACAGTTTTAAAATGCTGTGTCTAGCTTTTTCCTGCTCATCAGAAATCAGGTGGCTCAACATCTTCTTTGCCCATCACATCAAATTTAACGACTTCTTTTCGGTAGCACCATAACTATAAACATAGAGTAGCAAGATTCCAAAACCTCTAAAGGTCGGAAGGAAAAACCTATTAGCTGGCCTGACATGTGATCCCAATGTCAGCTGGGAATGTAGTTAGCCATGGTTGACGATTAATGCTAAGCTCCAAGTTTTGGTTTAAAAAAAAAAAAAGAAGTAAATGTTTCCTCCTTTAATGATTAAAATACACTTTAATAACATCCTACAAATAAACCAGCAATGATCTGTTTAAATCAGCACAAAGCCTGATCTCTTGCAGAAGCATGAGAAGCTCAAGAGTTAAAGCCAAGTTGTAAAGAAAACACTTGTGCTAAAGGAAACCTTAAGACATTTACCGGAGCCAGAGTGTGAAGGATCGTCCTCTTCGTCCTCCTCATTCAGGGCAAAAATCAACGGCTCCTCGCAGTCCTCAGCGAAGAAGTTGAGAACCTTTCGGTGGAACAACAAGCACGTTTACTCAGGGAAACCTTTTGCCTCGAGCGTGCCAGAAAGGACAAGCATAGCTAAGCACAAAAACACAAGTGTTTGGCCATCGCCTGGCCGTGTGAGAGAAATCAATTAGTTAACCATCTGTATCACATAAAACAGGTTCCATTGGATGACCAGAGTCATGTGTCACACCTGTCAAAACATTAAACACACATTCAACCTGCTCAACAAAGCCAGCTTTTCTTTACTGTGTGCAAGGTGCCAACTCCAACACCTCAACAATAAGAGGCGCAATAAAGAGCATAGAGGCACAGGCACTTTGCTGCAAAGCTGGAGCAGATGTTTATCAAACCTCCATTCAGAGGAGGATTTAAAAGAATGAGAAAAATATACTATGATATTCATCTTCTCACAAATTTCTTTGACTTTTTTTTCTTTGTCACACTTAGATGTTTTAGTTTATTAAACAAATGTTATTATCAGGCCAAGGTTACCTCATAACTATCCAAAAGAGCTTAGGCATATGTGAAAAAGAAAGGAATGGTCTCACATTTGCCTAAAACGAATTTAGGAAATGTTATGAAAACATTTTGTGGACTCCTGTGACAAAAATAAAACTATTTCACATGAGACCTGACAAAAATCTAACAGCATTTCAGAAAAAGAACGTCCTGCCATCGGACGTAATGGCAGGTCTGACGGTAGGATGTGATGGTCTTGGTTTGCTTTGCTGCGGTGGAATCTGAACAATTTGCCATAATGAATGCAACAATAAATTCTGCTCTACATCTCATGTGCACCTGGATTATATCATGAGCAATGACTCAGAGCAGAGCAACACCAGCAGGTTCCCCTCTAAACGACTCAAACAAATCCAGATCAAAGTTTTGGAATGACCTATTCAAACTGTGAGCTTCAGGTTAAAGACAGTTCTTCAGATTGGGACGTTGTGGCATGTCAAATGTTGCTGAATCCAAAGTTTTCTCTACAAACTCAAGATTATTTTAGTATTTTGTTTGATAATCTGAAACATTTAAGCATGAGAGAAGCAAAAGAACAGACAAAATCAGCAATGTGGGCAAAGACTCTCTCATGGCTTTGTCACTGTGGGTCTTTTCTTAATACCATCTGGTCTGCATCATATACTCACATTTTCATCAGCAGAATTTTCTCCGTTCATGTCAGCATACAGAGCTGAAAGATGAAGCCATACAGAAGCTGTTAAACTTCAAAAGGAAACTCCAGCAAGCACACATGTTAGTCAGTTTTTTAATGATAGCATGTAAAGTCTGACATTTGTTTTCTTTGTATAACCTCAGGGGATTTCGACTGTGCAACCTTCTTCTTAGCCCCTTTTTACTACCATGTGCATCTCAGACCAAAGACTGTGGTATATAATCGCTTACCAGAAACAAAGCATCAACAGATAGTGTTTGGCTGCTTTGATTTATGACGTAAAGTAGAGAAAGGTTAAGAGAGAAAACGAAAAAGCTTGAAGACGCCTGGGAAAGGGAGAAAGCAACAGCTTAAGAATGTGTCAAATTCTTAAGCTATTTAAATAATTGAATGTTTTTCCTCTTCCAATTTGTGACATCAGGAAGTAGAAGCCCCATTACAGTAGTGATATACAGCAGTAATATTTATTGCTTAGATAACAGAAGAACAAATGCACAATAAAAGGATGAAAGAGACTAAGGGAATACACCAGAAATAATGTCTGCATTTCTCTTCTATTAGTCATCCTGTCATTACTGTGGCTCTTGCTCCGTTTGTTGGTCACTGAATGAAACATCTCCCATAAAAATATGTACTGAGACGAATTATGAGACTTTTCCTCCAGCGCCTCCTGCAGGCCAGAGTTGATCTCAGTCAGTGCAGTACGTCTGCATCTACATTAAAAAACTAACACGCCCCAAACTCACTGGCACAAATTCATAATTATTTAAAGCAAATAAAGTAGCATTTTTTTAAAGCAATACTATAATATGCCAATCAGGGTTGAGAAACTTTAAAACAGTAAAAAATGATGACCTGTTCCTCCTTTCCTTGGTAGTACTTATGATGTTATACCAACGCCAATGTCTCTTAACCACTCTTCAAAATGGGAAAGACAAGCAGACATGTAATTTAAGTAACAGATATAGTTGTTGAGCTACTCAAAATACCAAAACTTGCCCCTAACTTGAGACAGAGTAATACATTAAAGGTGTAAAACAACTTGAACAGTGAAAAGACTAATGTTTATATTCTAATCACACAGTAAAAAGGTTAGCTATGGGAGGCAGAAAAAAAAATAATCTAAAACTCACTGTTCAACAGCTACAGCCAATCTTTACCTGAGTGATATATTATGTTAAATGATTTTTATTATGCTTTACCAGGGTTCAACTTAGTGTAGAAGGTGCTGACTTTTAGTGAGCCAACATAAATCTATTTATCTATTTGTTAAAATTGTGAATTTGTCCAAATTTCAGTTCATGATTAAGAAGAAAATCTCACTGTGCTCAGCTGAAACCAACATGGTAGCCTCACCATAAAGGCCTCAACTGTTAAACATAAAACTTTTAAAATTTCTTCAAAATATAAAAAAGTGGCTTTAGATTATGTGAAACAAAAATTAAAAACAAAAATTGAATAAATAAATTATCTATGTATGGAGAAATTTGTTGTAACAACCGGTTTGAATTTTATATAAACTACCAAAATCAAAAGTCACATTTTTCCCTTTGGAGAAACTTCTGCAGTACCTCATCTCCCCATTAGATGGCAGTCTGTTCCTGTCAACAATCAGGTGAAAACATTGAGACCCGACTCCTCTCACCATTCTCCAATAACATATGCATCACTAATTCTTGATATTTTAATTTCATCCACACTGTTTTTATGGCCCTCTTTTCACAACTAAGAAAGTAGGGGGAAAGTGTTGGTTGCTGGTAACAAAGTACCTAAAGATCAAATTCACCGATGTGTATAAATATATTTTGGTATTTGACTAAAAATGAGAGGAAGAGTCAACAAAGCTCAGTGTTGGAGAAAGCCCCAAAATAATACTGGTTAAAACCATTTTAAATATTACAAGAAGGTCAGAGTTTGGAAGCAGATCATGCTACATATTTTTTCATAGAAACAATTAGAGAGTTTATACCGGTGTCCGCAGGATCATCCACAAGTTCTTCCTTCTCCGTTATGGTTTCCACCTGTTCCCTTCTGAGCGCTTTGATCTGCAGAATGGAAAGTAATGATGGAGGACAAAATATGCAGTAAACTAACCAAATAAGATATGTGCTTGTGTTTGTTTGTCTGTGATTTTTGTCTGTTTAATCATTTACATAACTAAATAATTATGTGATGTTATGTAATATATATAATGTAATGTGAATAATAATAAATAATTATAATTTACATGTAGAATAGAATAGAATAAAACACTATTTACACAGATACATTACGCTATAGGCACATTGGTAGTCTTGTGCGTTTCTCCAACTCCATACTAATAAAAGTTTATGAAGAGATAATAAATAAATAAATAAATAAATAAATAAATAAATAAATAAAACTAGAAACAGACAAGACGCATTGAAAAAAAACATTAAGCTTTTGTGTATAAATAGTCATTGGTATTCTTCATGCAAATGATCTAATTACAGTTTAAGTTCTGCATATTTTTCACTTTTTGTGTTGCAGCAATGAATAGTTCCTGCCATCATTAATAAAACCTGAATTAAGTAATATTACAATACATAATTTTTTATATGAATATTCTGGGTTGGGCAAACTTGAAGAAATACAATATTACTCTTACGTATAGAGTTTTTTTTTTTTTTTTAGTTGCTATTTTTTTCTGTATGTGGTTCTATTCCTTTCATTGTGTTCAGGAAACTTTAAAGTTATTTGTTTCATGAAAGCACCTTTGAGAAATTTGCTTTTTTTCGTTCAAAGAGATATTTAAGAAATTCTGTTATTTTCATTATTTTCAGATCTAGACTTGCTTAGTTGTTTAATAAATTATAAGATAATTCCACATTTTCCTGCTATGATTAACAAAGATTTGCTTATTAAGCTTTTTAAAAACAATTTAATTAATACATAATAAAAAAATGTGACAAAGCTTCCTCTCAGAGCTTTTTGGACCTTACTATTCCTTACCTCCCTGAGGAAGTTCTCATCTCTGAGCCTGTTTCTGAGCAGGAGGATATCAGCGTATCGACTCTGCACCGAACTCCATCTCAGGTTTTGTCGAACGGACAGAGTCAGGTTCCCAGTGTCGTGGCAAAACCGCAGCAAGCGGGACCGATCTGCCCACACTTGTGTCAGACCTGCTGGTGGAGTGGCGAGGGGGTTGGGTGGGCTGCAACGGGCCAAGATGATACAATTTAAAAAAAAAAAAAGTAAATTAAGAGAAATTAAACTGTTCTAAATTAACTGACAAAATATAGAAAAATGTTACAGATAATAGTTAAACATATCAATTAGGGGATGATCCAATTCAATCTTAGATATCAGCTCAGTTTCCCAATTAGGGCTTTTGGAAATGAGAATATCCTGATCCCTGTTGTTGCTCTACAGAGTTTGATGAATAAAAACATAAAACATGTGAATCAAATTGCTTTTTTGCAGTGAAATGCCCCAAATCCACACCTATTCATGTGTGGATGACATGCGAGTGATCTGACATCACTCGCATGTCAGATGTTGAGTGAACTACATGTTTATTTTTCATTAAAATACATGGTTTTAATGTCATTTTTAAAGGTAAAATACATGGGATTTTCTGTAAGACCTGTCTGTGATTTTTCAGATCCAACCCCAGAAATCTGCAAAGCAGGAAGAAAAAAAAAACCCAGCTTTTATTCATAAACATATCAGTATTGCATATCCTGTAATACTGTAAATAGGGCTGCACACATTATTTTGTTCATCTAAAGATTCTGAGATTGTAAGAAAAAAATCCCTGCCTTGTAGAAGGATGGTCAAAAATTTCCCCTAAAAACAACTTCCGAAATCTTATGGAAAGCCTTTCTAGAAAAGCCTTTGTAGCACTTATATAAATCAAAAAATGATATAAAATGTGGGATGTTACAAATGACCAACTAAACTTTGCATTGCAACTGAAGGCTCTATGTTGAACATATTCTCTTTAGCAAAACAAATTTTTTTGTCATAACTTTTCGAAGAACCCCTTGTAGAATCCTAATTCCTTACTTTGTGAGCAGCTCCAGGAGCTCAGTGTTGCCTGTGGTCTGGGCCAGCTGCAGCGGTGTGACTCCCTCTTCATTAGGGAGACTGACAGCCATCAAACCCCCCGGCTGGCAAAGCAGCAGCTCTGCAAGACGATAAAAACCCCACCGCACAGCCAGGTGGAGGGGACACTCTCTATGAATGCGACCTGGAGAAAAGAGAAACGGAGACAACAACATTAAAAAATGTCTGGCATTACGATATACAGAAAAAAAAAGAGGCACAAGCAAGAAAGAAAAGGAATTAGAAAAAAATGAGAAGAGAAAAATGATTGGCTATTACAGAATGTGAGGAGAAAACAACACATGAATTATACGTTTGTTTTTAAAAACATGCATCCATTCTAGGTTATTATCAGTATAATCCAATTCAGGGCTATAAAAACTGAACTCTAAGTGAGGACAGATTATCTTTTAGCAGATGAGCGTCATTTCCAAAATCGAATTAGCTGAAAACAAACTGCTAACACGGAGCATGTGCAGTTTCATTTAGCTTCTTTGGTGCTCCAAATTATCCCAAAGTATTTCATTCCTGAAAATTATTTCCGTTTGTAGCATTGCTTAAAATCCCAACTATTCAGACACCGGTCACAGACGGATGTTGTCGTTATGGGAGCAAGAGATCAGAAAAGGAACTTTTTAAAAAGTTAAGCCTCACAGGGAATGCTTTGATTTGTTACACATGCGGAGCAGTGATGGGTATGCAGTTAAATGATTACATTTATGAAAAGGTCAGGCGATGCAAGAGGTGGGACCAAATCATTGTTTTGCAAGTCACTAATAAGTCCCAGTCCCAGGTAGAGACATGTAGTCAAGGCATGTAGAACCTGCATCAAAAACAAGTTGTGAGTTTTGAATCTTAAACTGGATATTTGAAAAAATACATATAATTTAATAATATAATAATAAATATTTTTAAAAATATATAAATTAATAATAATTTATTCATAAATCCTGATTGATTTGTAACTAACACATACATTCTAACTACTAAACATCAAGATACAAATTTGTGTGGCTGTTTTTTTGTTCCAAATGTTAAACCAAATAAACAAAACAGCTATTTAATTTAAATAAGAATGGGCAAACTGACCCACATAAAATACTTTTTTTTTTCCACACAAACTAAAAAAACTATCTCGATTTGACCTAATTCAAAAGTACAAGCCGGCTTCTGAAACCTTACAAAAGTAACATCAGGTCATGAAAATATCTAACTAATTTTTTTATGCTACTAATTAAACAAACAAACCAACTAAAGCAGCAAATTACATCAGAATTGTTTACTGCATTATGTTTTTCAATTGCCTTGTTGCTGAAATGCGATATTACAAATAAACTTGGAAAAAAAAGATTTAATCCCAGTAGATTATAAAATGCAGACAATACAGTGACATCATGAGTGCTGCAGTCCACCCACTGCAGACATTCAGAGGGAGACATTGCAATGAAACAGGCTGCCATAACGACATTAACCAGTAAAATTATGTAGGTGGCCTTACACAGGCACTTGGATCACACAAACAGATGGTGGCAGCTGGGAAGCAACGATCGGCACCGACATACAGGAACCTTGCACTCACTCACTCACCTTCAGATTTACTGAGCTGCACCTGCGGTTACTTCCCAATAGAAAGGCTCTATTAACCCCATAACACACTGCTTAATTGGCTTTGATGAATCTGACCGAAGCACACATGTGACTATGTTCACTTCCGATTTCAACCCTCTGAGCTCAGAAAATAGGAACAGCAGGGAGTAAATTGGAGGACAGAAAGGTTGAAGAGTTCACTCTTACTGCGAGGTGCTGGATTTGATTTCTCTCTGCAGAAGATTTTAACCAAAACAACTCAAATTTAACATTCCAGAAAAGTTATTCACTTGAATTTTAATATTTCTGATTAATCCTGCTTTAGATAATCCATAAAAAAAAGACAGCCTTCCATTATTTCAACAATGCCAATATTTGCATACACACTATAACATGGTGTGCAGTCCTGCTTTTACCATCTCCATGGTGGCTGCCCAGTACATTCCAGTTTGGAGGAATGTCCAGGTTGGCCATGGCGAGGGCCACTTTGCGATCCATAGCCCACCGAGAGCCCTCCTGGCGCAGGCTGAAGAGGCTGCTCAGCTCCTTGTGATCCGTGCCATTCAGACAATGTCCGTGAATTATGATATGCTCTGCCAAGTCCTGGGAATAAATCATTTGTCAAGGAGGATAAAATCAGTACATGGAAGGAGAAAACTCAAGAAATCTTTTATCTTGTTTTGATGCTTTAAAAGAAATCAAAAATACTGCTAGCGTGATACTCCTCAATCTGCACCCAAATGTTTTTGGATAATCTCAACCATGTGGGAAAAAGTAGAAAACCCTTAAAAAGCCTTTGTGTTTTTCTAAGACAATATTTCAAATACAATAACTGAAGTAAAGGCCTTTAACAATAAAGTAAAATTTGATGGAAACGATGTCTAATGAGGAATAAATAAGGATATTCCATCATTTATTCTGACATAAAATGTATACAGTTACACAGAGGCCTATAAGATCAGCTACGCATGATTGAATATTGTTACAGGATTTTAAAGACCGTTTGCTGTTTAAAGTTCATAAATTTGGTCAGGAAAACTGTTAATTTGCCGTCACAACAGGCTCTACTGTCAGGAAGAAGCTGTACCATGGCAGAAACCAACGGGGAGAGGGTAAGCAGAGCATACACAAGCATGATTAACAGCGCTAAGGCCCTCCTCCTGGCTTTGATTGGTTGTTTCTTGCAGATAGCACTGGGAGCATTGGGAGAAGGCAGAGAACATAGATTTTTTTTTCACAGATTATCTGTCTCATACCATACTATCACAATACAGTGACAGTTTGACCAAATATGTAAAAAACTTTTTTTATATATACTGTATCAAGCTACAGACTGCAACTTTTAAGAAACAATATTTTTGAAAAGCTAAACCTTATCTGGTGAAAAGAGATGTAGTGATAAGAACATTTTAAAAGAATAACGCAACACTTCAGGTGACATAAATAAAATCCACTTACCTGAGCATCATCATGTACGTACTCTAAGGAAGCCCCGCCCAACCAGGTGAGCTGCATGGATTCAGAGCATAGATAGGCTTGCACAGACACCTCCTCTGGCAGATTGTGTCCTAAAGAAGCAGTAAGACTAACTTTAGACTGACTTATTTACGTCTGATCAAATTAAATGTATTTTATTTTCCTATGTGACAATGAGGCATTAGCTTCAATTAAAATACAAATTCCATTAAATCAATAAAATACCGTAAATCTGATAAAAATGCTTCTTAATCTCATGCTATGCTAAGTAGACACTGTCAGGACTGATGAATTTTCAGCCAGAGATGGTCAGGTGATTATTAGGCATGAAAAGACAGAAAAACCTGTATGACATTATAGCAAAATTAATTTACATGAATTGTTATAAATTCATGTCTAATGTCTGTAAACCTGTAAAAAATGCTATATTTTGTTTTAAGTAATTTTTTTTTTTTTTCAAAAAAGAGTTAGCAAAATACGGAGAAGGAAGCTCATTACTTTTGCAGATGTGCTCTAGAAATGTAGCGATGCTTTCCACAGGGCAGATAAGATAAATCAACGTTCCCAAAATTTTTTGTTTCAAGACAAACAAATAGAATTAAACCTTTATGTTTAAAAAGACAAGCAAAAACAGAATGCATACCTGGCACAATAAAGTAGAGCATGACATCGTTTTGAGCCCGGGTTACATGGACCAGCGTGGATCCCTCCAGAACAACATAGACTTCAGCATCCTCTGGCACCGTGTCTAACCCCTCCAGCAATGCAAATACCTTGGCCTCGCCCTGAGATAAAGAAAGGTGAGAATAGTTGAGAGAAAAATAAAGCAGAAAGATGATAAACCGAGAAAACCTGATCTTCTTGCGAAGTATGCAGGCTCATTTTAAGCTTTGGCTTCTGTAGGATTCTACAGATTTATAAAGTACACCAAATCCCCCAACAGCGCTCCCTGAGGGTACAATAAAGAATCCCCCCTCAATAAAAAAAGGAATGCCTCATGTGTCTGATGCAAAGACCTGCCCTGATCCCGACAGGCAAGAATAATTCTAACTTCTCATGTGAAGCAGCACAAAAAGGTACACAAAGTTTCATTTTTTCATAGCAGTACATCCAAATGTAATTTCAGGCACCTAATAAAGTTTCTCCCTGCTTTAAATGTCAAAGTCCATGTAACTTCCAGTTATGATGCATCAATCACAATGAAGAGAGTCCTGTTCATTGCAAGTTAAATGCAAATAATCTGTCACCACTTTCTTAGGAATGAAGTGACCACTGAAATATAATAAATTCATTTTCAGGTTCAACAAACTAGTTTGTGATTATTCGAGGTTTGCGATATGGTGAATTAGTTATCAGAAGATGTATACACTATGGCCACAAACGAATGAACATATTCAGCAACTTCAGGTAGCGTTTTAATAAGGAGTCCATGGACTCCCAAACAAACATCCATCACGCTGTAATACAATCACAACCAACTAGGACTGTTGGCATAAAGCAGAATCAGTGCATTCATCCTGTTTATGCTCAGTCCATGTGGATACTAAAGATGAACTTGACATACATCCTAAGGAAAAATACTTTTCCGTTTTCATCTGACATCAATAAGGTATTTATTTTCTTCACACAACTGCGATGCATTGGATATTTTCTCTTTTTTTGATGATTAACTCTGAACCTAAGAGATTCAAAATCTCAGACCAACAATCATACCGTGTTCAGAGCCATTTTAATGTCTTTCTTTCCCATCCTGGTGCTCAATTTGAGCTTCTGCAAGTTGTCTTCACGACTCCCCAAATACATTAAGACGTTGTCATGTCAGTGGCTGACTCTGAATTTGTTTCAACAAGCAATTAAACAGATGGTCATAATTAAATTAGTGTACTTTTGCTTTTAGTTTTAGTCATTCAAAGTATTTCAGGGCCATTAGCCATTTCACAGATTTGCCACATTCTAAAAATCATAAAACAGCAGAAATCAATTTGTCCACCTCAAGTGTCCTAAATAGAGCAGAGTTTTGAGGCCACAAAATGAGCCGTTTGGGTTATTCTTGGAAACATATCAAACAACTGACTCAGGCTGGAGCGAAGGAAACGGGCTGAAGGGAAAGGACTCAGCCAATATGTTGAATATAAATGGACATTGATATGAGGAGATTTTTATGCTCATTTTCTCATTAAGATTCTATTAGCCTTGCTCAACAGATGACCTAATTTTGTAATGGAATAAACTGAGATGTTTTTCAATCTCAGAGACTGGGTAATTATATCCCTGTTTCTCTCTACCTTCTTGACCTGATTGCAAAAGGTTGTGGAAGGACGATTGGAGAAATCACAATAAAATTTGAAAAACAAAGCGAAGCTCAATTTAAATCTAATCACATCCACAAGCAACTGTTTTTGGAGGTTTGCAAATATTTAACATGTTTACAATATATTCAACATAAACATCCTTAATATATTAGAAACTACAACCACATTATGTAATTATATGCAGTCGTGTTGTGGAGAACAAATTAAATGTGCAAAACATTTCATACAATTGAAATGTCCCCCGGCTGTGGGACTAAGTGACATCCAGTGTAAAAGGACATCACTTTTATACTTTTAAAACAAAAATAAAATGAATAATAAATAAAATAATAATAACATTTGCCATTCTCTAATAAAATGAAATCAACCACTTACATGTTTTCAGATAATTTCACATAATAGGGATCTTTTCTGAACAAAAAGGACAACTTGACCAGTGTCTCATGCAGAGAAAAGACATAAGTAAAAGAAAAACTTATCTGATCTGACAAATTAAATATACTAGAAACGACCGTCTGCATGCAGTGATGTCAGTCCAGCCTTATGGACATGACACGACTGGCAAAAATGTAATGACGCTTAAATCTGAGTCCTTCAGACCTGGATTTGAACTGCCTCTTTTTTTCCAGATAGTGCTTAGAGGTTTAAAGCTATAATGTTATGTATGTATAGATTGGAAGCATTGTAAAAAGAACAATTAAACTAATTGTAAACTAACTAATATAAAGCTACCTGTTTTAGGCAAGCAAGAATGCAAAAAAAAAAAAAATCAGCAAATTCTCCTCAGCAATGATGTGAAAACGGAGTAAACTTTTTTTTTTTTTTTTAGCAAAGTGTTGCTCTCAAAGCACTTTTTGAATGAACATTCAACATTTCTAAAGTTGGTGAAAAGTTCCTGCCTTCTGTAAGATAAATCCAAAAAAGCTGTTCAAATTCACAATTTCTACTAAGGTAGAAACTGCATTAACCTTTATCATACAAGGGTTGTATGATAAAGCATCTCAACATACTAAACACTGCTTTTTATTCACAATTTCTACTAAGGTAGAAACTGCATTAACCTTTATCATACAAGGATTGTATGATAAAGCATCTCAACATACTAAACACTGCTTTTTATGTTCTCTTTTTCGCAAGGCTCTCAATAGCTGCATCTTAGGACAGTGGTATTTTTCTTCACTTGTGAAAAACACTGGATAACTGACTTTCCTGCTGAGAGCAAAGTGTTGAAATAAATGTACAGATCAGAGGTCTCTGACTTCTCAAACTGGTCAATCTTCCCCTCCATTAATGTTTAATATTCTCTAGGTAACCTTTAAAAAAAAAAAAAAAAAAAAAAAAAAAAAAAAAAAAAAACATTATGTTGAAAACATGTCAGCTTTATTTAAACTGCAGTGTGAGGAATGGATTTCCTGTTTGATCTTCAAGGAACCTTCAGCGCTTAGTGTTTGCTTACATTGTCAAGATCCCCAACTGATAGCACTAAAATGTATTTGACCACACTGTTTGACTTATTCTACATCACACATGATATAACAATTTAAATGTTCACCACTTGAAACTGCATAAACTAATTGCAGAGCAAACACAAGCATTATTCTTTTATTTTTAATTATAGGGTTACTGATTTGCCAGCAATATAAACATGTGTCAGGCCACCATTGTTGCTATTAAACTGATGGATTAAACTGTTTTACATTTTGTGTTTTGAAGTTTTGATTAAGTGTTGAAATAATCCAATGGCCGACCACAGAAATGATCAATTCAAAGAGCGACTTAAGAACATCAATGAGTCAGTCTCATGCCGGGGTTACTGAGGTCTTACTGGGATTTTAAAAAACATTATGTAACTACATGGAGCAATGTGATTGCATATCGTTACTAATGGAGAGACAGCACAAAGAAATGCTGCATCTTGATTTGACATACATTCCCTTGTAAAAGTATTCAAACCCATCAATCTTTAACATCTCATCAGGTTAAAAACACAAAATAAATGTTTTGTTTTTTGGCTTTTTTATAAACTTGCACAAAGTAAGGGATAATTGTGAAATGGAAAGAAACTGACGTATCAAAGTCTGAAGAGGTTTATAAGGGAACACTGAGTGAATAAACAGCATCATTATGAACAGGGATCAAAAACAATATTCCATCCCTTGAATGGAAGACTGCTAAATCCATTCTCATGGAATGAGTATTGCACTGCTGCAAACGATCAAGACTCGACTGTCCACCAAAACTGACAGTCCAGGAAACGAGAGCATTATTCAGAGAAGAAGCCCAAGGTAATTCTGGAGGAGCTTTGGATATTTATATCTCAGGTGAGCAAATCTGTCGACAGGAAAACTAATAGCTGTGCACCCCACACATCTGGTGTCCATGAAAGAGTGGGAAAATGAAAGCCACAAACACCAGAACCCAGTTTGAATTAGTTACAAGCAATCCAGGGGCCACAGGTAACATTTAGGAAAAGATCATCTGGTCAGATGAGACGTCTAATAAACATTTTACCCTTCATGCAAAACATGTGGTGGAAAACTAAAAGTACAAATCAATCTGATCACAGTGACATGGAGGCTAGTCTCGGTTGATAAGAAGACGGATGGAGCAAAATACTGGAAAATCTGGGAAATAACTTGACAGAAGCTGCAAAAGACCTGAGGCAGGCGCTTATAATTTGCAAGTAGATAGCTGGACAATCAAAGTCCAGACCCAAATTCAAATGAGCATCTGAAACAAACCTTGAAAATTGATGTGCACATCTGCTCTCCATCTAATCTGGTTTAGATTGAGCTCTTTGCAAAGGTAAAACATTTAAATTATAGAAACAAGAAAGAGACTATCCCAAAAGACTTGAAGACTCTGGAATGGTTCTTTGATGAGGTGGAGGTAAACAGAGATAGACACCACACATTTCTTTTGTTTTTCTTGCAAATTAAAGTAATATGTATACATTTGCAAGACAGAAAAAAAAAGTAGCTCAGATTTTCAAATTAAAGAGGGCACTCGTTTTTCAGCACCATGCAAACTCATTCTGCAGAGATTTCCCACAGGGAGACCAACTTACTCTTGAGAGTAACTGAAGAAGCTTATGTTGAACTCGACAGCACATATACTCACATAGAGAGGCACCTTCCTCCTGCTCAGCTCCATGTATACAGCAGCTGCAAGGTGAAAAAAATATTGACACAAAATGGAAAAAATGGGGGAAACGCAGAGTAGCATGTGACTCCTAATTATTTCCTTGCTTATTTTGGTTTTCCATCTGATCTTGAGGATTATCAAACCTTTAAGCAGTCAGAGAGGTCATCTGAAGAGACAGCATCGGCTTTTGATCACAAGAAGGTGAATAATGATTTTAATGATCGACCCCCCTGTCATGGTGTGTGTAAAGAAAGAAGACCAGAATGTCCATGAATCTGATACCCACGGCAGTTCAATAATGCGCGTGCCTGGCTTTGTGCACGAGCAGGAAATCGATTACATTTCAATGCTGCAGGGTTCAGATCTGCTCTGTGTCAGCGGCCACTTCCTAAATGAGACCCAGCAGCGAGATCTTAACAAACTGCCACAGTCATTGTTCATAATGAGACAGCTTCCTGTCCGCTTTTAGTCTTCTGCAATCACACTTAGAAACAGGCTGCAAGATCTCTGAGGAGGAAAAGTGTGAAAATAGCTGTTCATGACACCAAAAGTCCTCCATAATTGGAAAAAAATTAAATATACTTTAACATTAAAACATTAAATGGATGTGATTTTTTTCTTAAAGACTTGCATGAATAATTGTATGCTCATTTAGCTTATTGATGTAGATACCAATCACACTTCTATAATTATAATAATAATAATAATAATAAAAGACTACTACAAAAACACTTACCTTGGACCTTACACTCCAGCAAATATGTCCTGAGAGTAAGTTGTAATTCCTTTACGACAAGCTTTTAATTCAAATTTATCATTTTTTTTTGTTTAACAAAGCGATCAGATCGGGGCCGCTGCTGTCTGCACTGTTTCAGCCTCCTCTCTGGTACAGCACTGATGCTTCTCTGTCTTCAGCCAAAATCCCTCCTAACGTGATAAAAGTTACCCCATTGCCTTAAAGCTATAGCGACCTCAAGTGGAAGATAATATGACTGACAAGTTCTCAGTGGAAAGTTACAGTTCTTTGCACCTTCTAGTATAAGGTGTTCCTTGCACTTTATACCCACTTGAAAAGTTCAAGTGGGTATTAGGTGCACTTGATTTTTTTTTTTTTTTTTTTTTTTTTTGTTTTTTAATTTTTTTTTAGGTTTGTCAATCATTTTTTATTCTATTTCGCTGAGATTTCATGAGACAGTCCAACATAAAAATCACAACTATAGAATGGAATAAAACGTCAATAAATCTTTATATATTGAGTCAATATTTAAACCATTTTCTTAAGTCGTTTTGTAGCCTCTTTTAGGTTTTCTTCAAAATATGACCTGTACCATCTCCCAGTCAGCTTGGATCAACTTCTCTGCCAATAACAAAGAAGCGCCCCATCTACGGAGCATGATGCTGCCAATGTGATCTAGAGCGTTACTTTTCTGCCACATAGTGTTTTACACATAGACTTTGATCTCATCTGATCAGAGCACCTTCTTCCACATGTTTGATGTTTTCCCTGCATGACGGCTGGCGCCACAAGTCATGCTAGTTCACCATGCTAGTTTCGCCACTGGCATGGTGAAACTAGTGCTAGTGGTGAACTATTGTCTCTCCATAAACTAGCATGACATTGTATCTGTGTTCTATGCTTTGCTTCCTACAGAGGTAAAAACTCGGCTACTGAGAAACCATTGTTTCCTGGAGGCCTGGTCTCTGTTGTTGAGGTTTTAAATTTTACCCAGTTGCTAAGTAATGCTAGTTCAACACTATGGCTTACCTGAAATTGCCTGCGCTGTAAACAACTGTCCACCACTGCAAAGAAAGAAGTCCCAAGTTGAAGGAGGAGGCTGATAATGATAATTCAATATTTGGAAGAGTGGCCAACACAGACTGAACGGCTTTGTTCACTTCCACCGCTGCCATTGCTACAACTACAGGCAGACCACAATTCTAAAACGTCGCAGAAAATCAACGTCATAGTTTACAATTTTCCGTCTGTTCGCTGATTGGACCGGTAGAAATTAAACCGGAGGAATCAGAGTGAACAGGAGAAAGCCCAGATTTTGTGTAAATTGATATTTTAATCGAGCTGAATAGTGGCAATGACCAGGACAGTGGAATACTGGACGCTGAACTTCTGGTTTTATGTATATACGCATTATATCTGGTGTATATATGACACTAATTTTCCTCTCATTTCACAATTAATCCACCTTGTCTTAGGTACCTTCACAAAGTGTAGAAAGTTCAAGGAGTTTGAATATTTTTTTAAACTGTACCATAAAAAGCAGACTAATCTCAAATTTTCTTTTCAACTCAAATAAAGCCAGTAACACTTATGGAAAAAAAACAACTTTTATTTTTCTCTGCTTTTAAGAGTGTCGGACATTATGAAAGTACTTCAAACACATACTGACGTTTACAGTTGAGGCTTATTAAAATGATTTATAGTACATCAAATATGACTTTTTCAGATCCACACGTTCAGAAAGTCTCCACGTAGAAAATGTTTTCATTTGGTTCCCAGGTACAAACAACATGGGTTAGAGTGATAAGATGGATAAAATGGAGGGATGGAGGCCTGCTCTGCTGCGATTGGTTGATATACCAGTAGCATCTAAACAAAGGCCAAAAAACTAATCTCTTCAGAGAAAAATATCCTGTTTGAAATGTATAAAACAAAATCCAGTTAGTCTGGAAAAAGTGTTTTATTGAAAACGGACCCTTTCGTTGTGTGACATCTTTAAAACAGTCACCTTATTCTCCTGTAAAATAATTTTTACAGGAGAATAAGTAACTAAGAATTAGAACCAATCAAACCGGCTGATCACCCTACAACAACTGCTCTGGATATTCCATTTTTAGTTTATTTTGTGCATATTAGACTTTTGTCCAAAAGCTGGAGAACAACTACTAGTTTCAGTTGAAATTATACAGCTGGATTGAGTAACGTTTTCTGTATCTTACTTGGTGTTGAGCATGAAAAGTAGAGAAATCTCTGTGAACTTTGTGCTATCTCCAGCATACAGACATTAATATTCCAATTTCATTCGAGGTTTGAAAGAAATGTTAATTCAGTCGAGAGATCTTTGTTTAATGATAAAAAAAACTGCTATATAACAAATTACAGCTAATGAATTCCCACAGCAGACCTCACTTCCACCAGTAGGCAAAATGTAGGACTCAACACAGATCCAATTAAAAAATGTTTGTTTGGTGTTGTTTACACACAGAAAACGATTCTGATGCCTTCAATCGAGATTTTATAAAAATCATCCTAAACCAGTCTAAAATCAATTCTTCCTCTCATTTGATCTCAGGTGGCCTGAAGCTCAGGTCTTGAACTGCTCGCCTCTCCCTGAGCCAGCCCATTAGATCTTCCCACGTCGGAGTATGGCACCTCCTTACGAGTGACGGAGGTGGCAAACATGGTGTCCAACATTCCCAGGACCTCGAGTAGCTCCTGCTCCAAGTTGATCTCTGACTCCAGGATGTTCTGCAGGCGCAGCAGCTGCTGGTCGATCAGCGCCGACTGGCCAATCACCGATTTATAGATATCAAGGATCATTTCAGCTGCCGTCAAAATGATGGGGGCAAACCGGGTGTCGACAATGTTTCTGAAGAAGAAACGGAAACAAATGATCGAGGTTTAGAGTTTAAATTGATAAATCCACACATTATGACGTCCTGCTCTTATTTCACAACTTTAATGATTTGAACCCAGAAAATAAGATGTGTGTGTTCTGCTTCATACCCAATGACAAAGTGGAGTAACTGAGAGAGTTGCTCTTCATCTCTTCCTGCTAGCGCGTTCTTTAGAGTTCCTCTTCGGTCCAGCTCCTTGATTACACCCACAGTTATCTCTGGCTTCTTCTTTCTTAACCATATCTATCAGAAAAGAAGATTGAAGAAACAACTTTGCTTAAAAACAGCTTACGGAGCCATTATTTGCTAATATGGGCCCTCAATTATCAAATGTGGAAAATAAATAAGTGATTGGGGGAAAGTAAACATGATAAAATAAAAACAAACCTTCATTACTTAAATGCTTGTGAATATTTAGATTACTCTTACCTCCAAGGATGCATCCAAAGCTTTGGATACATTAAATTTCTTGAGCTCCCTGTCATATTTGGCCAAATGTTCTTTGACTGGCTTGCTGACAAGATAGTCATCCTGTAAATGCATAAAGCAAGGAAATTAGAAATAAAGAAAAGCTCAGTTATAATTCTTACAGAAAATGATGGGCTGACAATGACTGCAACGTAGAAACCTACTGGCTTTGGGACAAAATTTTTTCCTTTCACAAAGACACGATATGACGGGCGGCGCCTCTGTTGGCTCATTATTTCCTTTGACTCTTCGGTGTGTTTTCTGTGTTTGATGCTTAAAATACTGTTGGTCATTCCTACAACAATGGACTCGTCATCCGGCTGAGAAGAAAGAAAAGTTGTCAACTTTGGCTCGAGATGAGAGCAAAACAATGCCCCTTGTTTGCAATGCAACATAAAATTAAATCTGTCATTTTGCATTTTTCAAGTGCAAACAGGGAAACTTGTCTAATTCCTGTTTTATCTACGCTGCCAATGTGGCAATTATCTAAAGAAACGTTTTCACAGAATTTTGCTGGAACGTTTATTCTTACAGCCAACGCCAAACTGAGGATTGCAGCAGCGTAGTCAAAGTTATGGACCACTTTGTAGGTGGTTGTGTTGTAGACTTTCACATGCCTGAAAGACAAACAGTCCATGCGTTAAAACATTTTCATTCATTCACCTTTTATTTACAGAAGGTGGCAGCAACAAGAGGACTTCCACTTGAATGCACAACAATTCTCATTACAGTGACTAATACAATATATATATTTGCTGCCTTTGACAGACAGAAAAGTGTCCGATTTAAATTATTTAAACATTTATTTTATGTCAGGAATTCACTACATCTGATGTTCTTATACCTGTCCAGAGACGCCGACAGCAGTCTCTCTCCGTTGTTGCCGAGAGCCAAACAAGTGACGGTTTTATGATGGTTTTTCAGCGACACCAGAGGCTGACCTCCTTTTAGCAGATCCCACACTTTGACGTAGCGCCCACCTAAGGAAAGACAACCAAAATTTGTGAATTGAGCTTGTATTTCAAATATTTCCAAATAAACTTGAAAATACCCCATGCACGTATACTACATGAATATAGAGCATCCTTTGAGGTCAAAGCAAGCCAAAAGAACTGAACTAAAATATCCTTATTTTGCTTACTGGAAAAAATAAATTGGGATGGTTCACACAAATCTGAACAAATGTTTGTGTGACAAACCAGCCTCACAAAGCCTTTCATCAAAACTATATAACTGAATTTGTACAAGTTAAGTATGACATGTTATGATTTGCTATGCTTCTCATCATTAAGCATGTGCAAATATAGATGATCTGGATTATTATTATTATTCAGTAAATATCTTGTGGTGATTTTTTTTTTTTTTTACATACACTTTAGATGTAAAGTTCTGATCTCTGATGGAAAATAAATTAACATACTGACTGCAAAGCTGCCTTGTCTTGTGCCATCACAAACACCAAAACCAGGCACAGTGAAAGACCAGGGAAAAAACTAAGCCAAAATTTTAGCGAGAGCCTATGAATCAGAGAGCAGTGTAGAACCGAGTTTCTGCATTGGACCTTTGCTGTCTGCTCAGTTCTGAAATTAATCTGACCCTTCAACGTGTGTTGTATAAATATGCTAAATGATTCGGCTGACAACCTGCTGAGACCAGGAGTCCCTCAGAGGGGTAGAGAAGGAGGCTCTCCACCGGCTGTCCGTGATCCATGGTCATCACACTCTTCTCCGCTCTGGCATCAAACACTTTCAGAGTGTGGTCATATGAGCCTGAAGCAGCAAAAAAAAAAAAAAGACAAGCAAATCTGATTCTTGTTGGTGCCAGTTAGCTGTAACAGGAGACATATGGACTCTATTTTTTATTATTTTATTTATGTTTTGAGTCAAGTTAAAAACTACCCAGAATGCACCGCAAATTGATGTTTATCAGACAAAAGGTTAACTTCCTCTTGACCCTTTGACATTTCCCCACTCCTCTGCAGAATGACCTTTTGACTCACCAGTAATGAAGAGATCTCTGTTGAGTTTGCTGGTAACGCCACAGCGAATGTAGTCTGTGTGTTCCCGGTAGGTGCTGAGCTCGGCTGCGTTTGGGATGTCCCACAGTCGGCAGGTGTAGTCGTCAGATCCCGTGAGGATCTGATAACGGTCTGAGGTGAAGTCAGTGACATGTACGGCCCTGAGTAAAATAAAAAATAAAAAATTCAATTCAGTTCAATTCAAATAGTTTTCAGTATGCAGGACTTTAAGAAATATGAAAAAAAACAGCTCAATCGTTGTCAGAATTCTTGGGATCAGCATAAATTTCAGTCGATGGATCACTCAAGAAATCATCATTCAACATTGTTGTCATCAGCCAATGACTTCCACCACATTTTCATTCACCCAACACTCTCCATTTGAAAACATGGATCGCTGACAGAGGTCAGTTGATCTTGATGAATAGATAATACAAAGTTCCTATTAGGGATGAACATATGAAATTCTCACAGTATAATAGCCTTGACTAAGAAATACAACAAGAATGTTCAGCATGATATCACAAAAAACAAACAGAATCCTGTAGCAAAAAAATAATCGATTAGATACAATAATCATTATATTATTTACAGTTATTTTGATATATTAACATAGCTTGCAGCTTCAAAACTGTGCTAAATTATCCTAAAAAAAAAGATGATTAATTCTCCCCTAGTGTCACCTATAAAGCAGGAAATATTTTCAAAAAGTGTTTATGCCTTCTTTGGGCTGGCGGACTGCTAATGCATAACAGCAGGCTTAGAAGTAACCAGAACTAAGTCTAGTTTATTTTAGATAGACTGGAGCAACTGGACAGTAAAGAAAGAGTCTTAAAGAGACACCGCACAATTTCACCTTAATGACAGATTTCCTGTCATCACAATTTCCTTTGCAAGAATTTACTAAAACGTCTACGACCTAATCACAGACACTTAAAATATGAGACTCACTTTGTGTGCCCTTTGAACATCCTTAGTGCCACCCTGCCACTGACATCAAACAGTCTGACAACCGAGTCTTCGCATCCCGCCACAAGCAGCTGGCCATCTGACCTGAATCTACCACAATAAGCAGTGTCCTTGAATCGGGTAAATGTCTTGACAGGCTCTTGGGAGAAGGGCCCATAGACGTGGATCTGAGGAAAAAAAAATGAGAGTTAGAACATGAAGAAACTGGGAAAACAAAGGTGCATCCTTTACTCATAGACAAATTATTTCAAAGCAGAACTGTTTATCAGATTGCTTTAATTTAATATTATAAATATAAAATTAAACAGCAAGTAGAAACTTTGTCAGTTTTATTTTAATTATAATGTAGCAACTGTAAACACTAAAGAATACGTAATGGGAACTTTGTATTTCCTTCCCTTTTGTTATTGTCTGTGTAAATAAGATCCATATCCTCTGGGGTAAAAAACTAAATACAATATGAAAATCAACCATGTCATAAGGTGAACTACCTAGAATTTATGCAAACAGAACCTACTCACTCTTGAAAAGGCAGTTACAGCAAAATTATGAGGAGCCACAGGAGAGAAGTCGATGTTTGAGACTGCTCCATATTCTTTTATCTGAACAGGAGCCTACGAGCGGGAAGAAGGGGAAACATGTCAGGCAATGGATTCCTTCAAAGCTTGAAATCACAAATTGTCTAATACATTTATTTCCCCCACAATAATATAAAATGGAGCACATAGCAGGTGTGACTCACCTTGTAGTTTTTCCAGTAAAGTGTGTCCTGTGTGACTTTTTCTCCGAGCTTTGGATACACCGGGATTTTTGTGGGTTTAAATGAAGCCATCTATATGGCGCCTGTTGAAGCGTCTGCATACACACAGTAGGAAGCAGCCACATATTATTAAGCAAAGAAATCTTATGAATATGATTATAATTTTGAAATTATATGTACATATTGCAAGAGAAAACAAATAATACTAGAAATAAACTATGCACTTACTGAGCATTTTACACATGTTCAATTGCCTATTAACACAAATCGTAAATCAGCCAATACTGAAACAAAATGCATTTGGGCATTTCGACATGACTTTCTGAAGTTGAAAGTGAGAACAATAGAACAATAGGTTTGCATTATGGATGTGCAGCCGACATATCCAAATGTTAATACGAAAATTTTGAAAGAATGATTTTGGTACTTTGTTTAATCTGTTCCATGGAACAATTTGAAGCAGTTCTGGAGACAAAAGGGATCCAGTCTGGTTTTTAAAAAGATGTACCTAACAAATTGGCTAATGAGTGGAAGTATATGGCGAAATTAAACTAAACAAAAACATGTTATCCGAGAGAAATTATAAAAACAGCATTTTACTTTTTTAAAAACAATGACATAAAAATAAATTAGGTATATTTTCCGTTATTTTACTAAGTTCTACCTTAAAATATGATAAGACATTTATATGTATGGATATTACACAAGTGGCATTGCCTACATCGACTTTAAATTTGCAATTAATTACTTGATTTGAGAGACAACGCCTTGTAGTATTTTTCATGGGTTTCCTGGTATAAGTGAATGATTCATTAGTCTTTGGATTTGGATATAACATACAGTGCTTACGTTTTTGTTGTACAAAAAAAATACTATACCCTTACATCTAAAAGATTCACCGTTTAATAGTTTTTAGTTTAGGCACTGAAGTATCACCCATGTTGTGTTATCTATATTGTTTTATCTAACAAACTAAACCGTGATATCAGCGATGGGGCTCGGGCAACAGTCAATTAAATCTTTAGATCATTCATAAACAAATAAAAAACAGTACTTTGTGTTCTTTAAACTGAAATAATGCACGTGATTATGCATGTCTCAAACCTGGCACACTGTCTGTTATTTATACGACTAATATTTTACACAGAAATGGCTCCAGAATTTTCTCACCTTTGATTGGAAAAATGGTCCCAGTGTGTAGATACGTTACACCTAGAATAGGGCTGATTTAAAATTATACAGTCTTTTGTTATCTACAATGAAGAAAAACTTTCTCATTTTTATCGAAGGATCACGTTGCCTCTCGGCGAACAGGAGGACGCCATGATTGAATGTAACTACTTCCGCAATGAAAATGATAGAATTGTTTAAGTAAGTTTTTGTTTCTACTGTTTTTTAATTAAATTGTCTACAAGAAGCTTGAATATTTTTTCGGTTAGATATAAGATTAGTTTTTCTCTCTACTTAATATTTTTTCATGTTCGTTTTACGCCTTAATTTACGTCACTTCCTGGGCTCCCTCCTTTCTGCCTCCATCGCTTATTGCGTGAGCCGCGTGTTTACACACTTCCAGGTATGTTCCTCGCTGTTTTTCAGTTTTTTAAATTATGACAAATAATTTTAATGTAAGTGTAGCTTTTAAAAAATAATTTTGCCTCAGCTTGAGAAACCTAATGCGGGAAAAGCACACCCTTTTCTTCTGTATGAACATCTGTTTGAGGAGGCCCTAGCTAGCTGTTTAGCTGGCTTTGCTAACTAACCAATTCCGTTGATGTAATTTAGACTGTACACAAAATGTATGACTAGGTATGTTAAAATAAACTGGAATTAGAAAGACGGGTTATACGGCATCATCCTGTGTCAAACATAGTTTCATCGGCCTTATTTGAAAAAAGTTGCAACCCAATAGATTTGTGGTTAGCGTGTCCCTTGCTAAAGCTGTAGTTGCCCACCTCTTCACTCTGATTCATGCATTACTTGCAGACAGGCTCTGAAGTGTGACGCTATTTTCGGGGCCTTATGACAGCTGCGCATTCTTGTTGGTTTTCTGCGTGAAAGGGCAAAAAGTGACGGGAGATTTGAGGGGGATTTATTTCTAATACTTCCAGTTTGATTACATGTCTATCACTTCCTGCGAACTGCTAGATCACACATGTAGTATAGTAACACGTTAGGGGCAATTTATGTTGGTATTGAAAGTTGAAAATGTTATACCATTTTTTCCCCTCCATACAATGTCATTTAAAATTAAACGATCAGAATAGAATCAGAACTAATTCCTAGAAATTAGCTAATATTCAAATTGTGCAGCAAAAATGTTTTAACTTAAGCTAAGCTTGGATTGGAATGAGATTCCTATGGTATGACTGTGTAATAATATTTACAAATGAATTAATGATTTACTTAGCTCTTTTGATGCACAGACATAAGCAAAAATAAAATAAAAAACATAGACAGTTTTGTGAAAAAAAATTCTTGCTTATTATGCAAAATATTTGACATTTTTCCCATCCTCTACCCTTTCATAGAGTATTCCATGTATAACAAGCTGATATTGTCTGGGTAATTAAACAAAGCACAGGTAGAACTTACAATGAACTGCTTAATAGCCATGTCACTTCAGAATCAGAATAAACGTTAATGTTCCCCAAGGGAAAATGTATTATTCTCCATTAAATATAAACAAATATAAATATAATCATTAGTGGTATAAAATTTACAACACAAATGTGAAATTACATTGTTAGGTATGACCTAAATATAAAATAAATTAAATAAAATGAAATAAAAATACAAGTCATTGAAGTTTATCAGCTTCCATGTAGTTGCTCTCCATGTCTTGTGGATGTTAGGAAATATTTCCGAACAGCCACTCTGTCTCTACTACAGCAAAGGAAAAGTGTAGCAGAGTTGTGTTATTTTCTGTCTCACATAACTGGTGTTAGGAAGGTGTAGGTAACTCATATTACTCCAGCTTTTTATTTGGCATCTCATTAAAGTTCTGCTAATAACCAGTAGAATTGCTGTTGAATTCTGTGCCTGTTCTCTTATATTTAAGATGAAGGAGTCGATAATGAACCAAGAGAAGCTTGCCAAACTGCAGGAGCAGGTCCGCATAGGTGGCAAGGTAAGGTGCCTACATGCTGCCAAGTTATAGTTATGGGGACTCTGAATCATTTGCTAAAGCTAATTTCACTGCTTTGTAGGGGTCAGCCCGGAGAAAGAAGAAGGTGGTGCACAGGACGGCTACAGCAGACGATAAGAAGCTGCAGTTTTCACTGAAGAAACTAGGAGTCAACAACATCTCTGGTATTGAAGAGGTACGGTAAATGTTTGTGGACTTTTCCACATTGGAAACTAACATACAACTGATTTTATGTACAAGTAATAATGGACTTAATATCTTTCATTTAAATTGCAAATAAAGCTGAACTGAAATCCCTGGAGATGGGATGATTTACCCAAAGAGTTCTCCAGAGTGTGAAATCTCTGATTTTTGATGACATTCGGTGGCCGTATATCCTTTGCTATAAAAGTTGCAATGAACTTTATGATTAGCCATTTAGTTACAGAGGAGTTTTTACATTGCTTAGTGAATGCACTGCTGGCTGACATGAAGCATATGATCAACTGTTTTAACTTCTGCCAACAGTTGGAAACTTAATGTTTCATGGTCATGTTTCAGAATATTTTACTTGTTTTTATACAGGCTGTATCTGATGTGGCTCTTGTGCAATTCATTTTCCATTTTGTGTTGAGGGGACAGGATGCTTTACATGTGACGTTAATGTGTGCCGCACTTATTTGCTTCTCGGCTCTGCTTTTTTTCATCTAGTTTTGCTGTTTAATCAAGTCAAAATTGTCCATGTTCCCTTCTCAATGTATTTTATCACAGGTTCACAAGCTACCCTGGCTAAACAAGCAAGGCAATGTTTTAGATTTAGAACACAGCATATTAACGCGTTAGAATGGCTCTGTCAAAGTCCAAATGTAAACCTATTCATGTTGGCAGACAATCTCTATTTAATCAACCCAAGGTTAAAAACCAAAAATGGGCAAAAATGTCAGCCTTGCAGCAATAATTTCACCAAAAGATGCATCTACAAAATACTGAGGCAGGGAGATGAATACATGTATGCCAGACTTTTCAGATACAAATAAACTTTGATCAGTTCCTTCCACTTCGCAATCATTCACTACTTTATATTGATCTATCGGATACATTTCCAATAGAAGACATTGAAATTTGAGCTGCTAACATGAGAAAAATGTAACCGTCATTCAAAAGGTATAAATAGTTTTGCAATACATTGGAAAATCATGGCAGATTAAAGTTATCTAATGAAAGCTGTGCTCTGTTCTGATGACCCCTTTTGGGTCCAATAATATTGTACTGGTTACTTACCAGTTTACTTTTTTAGACCAAACTGTTGACTTTTCAAATAAGTAGAAATAAACCATTAAGAAGGGTAATTACAGTATGAGGTGATTGAAAAGACTCAGGATGGAAAGCTGTTGTTCTTTTAACAGCAAAGCTGCCATACTTCTGTTCATACATCTTTAATCTTTTTTGTTTTCACTGTAGGTGAATATGTTCACAAACCAGGGGACGGTGATCCACTTCAATAACCCAAAGGTTCAGGCCTCCTTGGCTGCCAACACGTTTACGATCACAGGGCATGCTGAAAATAAACAGCTAACAGAGATGCTTCCGGGAATCCTCAACCAGATGGGAGCTGATAGTCTTACCAGCCTCAGGAGACTAGCAGAGACCCTGCCCAAATCCGGTACTGCCACAAACTCGTCCAGCTGTGCTTTTCTCCGTCACACGTGTTGTGTGGTGTTTAATAATAAAACTCCCTAATTTTCATCATAGCTGGAGACAACAAAGCTCCCATAGTTGCTGCCGAAGAGGAAGATGACGAAGTTCCTGGTAAGCAAGAAAATTTGCATCTCATTTATTTATAAATACAGTGTATCTTGCTGAATTGTTGCGCACTAAACATCCTTAAAATTGGCTAGATTTTTAACAATAAAATGAGTGAGTCTACTCTGGACTCGTTCAAATCTATGCTTTAAATACTTTTACCTTTGTTTGCCTGAATTGATGTTTGCAAAAATCCAAGACAAACCTTTAACGCCAACATAAACTATGAAAGAATTCAGAATTCACTTATACTCTATTTGTACTAATTCTTATTTCTTTCTAATCTGTTTGTATAATTTTAAACATAATTCCCAGTAACACTTTGTTTTCATATGCTGCTTCCTTTTTCTTTTTGCATTTTCAGATCTTGTGGAAAACTTTGATGAAGCTTCAAAGAACGAAGCAAATTAACCAACATGACGACATCTGAGTGTTTCTTGAGTCACCACAGTATTTAAGTCATGTATTTGTGGCTACAAACATAACCTGCCTTTAAATTCAACAATTGGGTTGGAACAAGAAAATTGACTTTTTACAGAAAATGTTATTATACAGTTAAAGCAAACAGAATTTATTAGAACCTGCACAAGCTTCTCTTTCTCATGCTGCCTTCTTCACACTGCAGTACCCATGCATAAAAAAATGTATTGGTGGAATTAATTGTGTAATAAAGATAGCCTTTTAACTTCTTTTATATATGCAGCAGAACAGTTTTGCTTTGTTTTGTTTTTTCACAAATTAAAATCATTGCAACTGTTCATCATACTCAAATGTTAAGTTCTTAAAACAATAGCAGAAGTATTAAGAAGTCTCTCTTCCATCAAGGAGCACTGACAAAGATGAGTTACAAGGCAATTATGTAGCCAAACACAAAGCAAAACAAACACCACTGTTATAACACCACATAAAATATACAAAGCATAGAAGAAAAAACAAATAGTTATACATATATTACTACAAATCTTAACTAAAAACATTGATCCTGCCATGCATTGCTTAGGCAGGCCACAACTCTAAAAATATATACCTGTAAATGTATGTTACATTTAAGCCAGAAGGTCTCATTTTGGATAATAAGGGAAGAGATTGACTGGGATGCCCCTAAACTGTAAATCATGAGATTTAACAAAACACAAGGTTATTTCCTTTTGTAAAAAAAAAAAAAAAAAAAAAAATATCTTTTGTTTCTTGTCAGACAAACAGACAAAGCTCAGATTTGTTGAGACGGGCATGGTATTTCAAGGCTCCTCTGTTCCCTACAGGTTCTCAAATGCTCAGCAATTTCTTGGAGACACTTGGAGCTTAGGATGTGTCAGAAAGGGACAAACTGGACTGGGAATAATTTAAAATCCCACTTTCCATTTTGTGAAAACAAATGTATTGCGTTAATTTTCTTAAATGAAAAACATTCTCTTAGGTTTTAATTTTCTTTTTGAAACAAAGCTGGGTTTTGGTTGAATATTTCTTCTCAATGTAACAACATTGATTTATAGTTATTCCAAAAGGTTACAGGGACTCTTGTTTGTTATGGAGATTAATAAAACCTATTTTAAGGTGAAATACTGAGTCAACAAATCAAAGTGCATTTGATTATTTTTATTAAGAAATTAAGCAAAGAAAATGAGCAATAACTCCCCTGGCTAGTCCAGGGAAATGAAGGAAAAAGACATCACTTTAATATTTGCCAGTTATGTAAACTCAGGACTTCCCATCAGCTTAACAATGAAGGTACAGTTTTCTCACAGCTCAGCATCTGCATGGCTTTGGACGTTTCAAACCAAGTACAGAGAGATAAACAACCTCCCAGAAACTTATCATCTTCAGTCTTCCCAGTAATAAAGCCAGGGTTTTATTTTGCCATAACTGGAGGATCAGTCCTGGGCATTTTGAACAGTGTCAAACCTTCTTGACAACAGCTGAACCCTTCGCCTCGAAGTTCTTGATGAACGTTGCACCTGTTCTTTCGAAGACCAGCTTTGTCAAACAAAATCCGTGAAACATTAATCGAACAGGGAGTGATGGTGAGGAAACTGAAAGTTGAGCTAATTCTTTGTGGATATAAAATGACATCAGTCATTCAAACATCCAGTAAAAACACAACTTATTGTGTTTGGCTCCAGTGTAGAAAGCCTCAAATTAGTAAATCTGCTCTTTGTTCTTTTATTTAACAATTTACAGAAAGCCACATGCAATGTCTCCTCATGGTCAGCAAATATTTTCGATGGATGGACAGACAGACACTTCGTTGGCATTTCTGGATAACAATTTATTGTGCAGTCTTGATAATTCTCCACAAATTGTTCAGTATGATCTCTGTGGCACAATAGAAGGTTTTTTTTTTTTTTTCCCCACTTTTTGTTTATTGCATTTGGGCCTTTCTGATGAGGTGTTCGGTGTTTACACTCCATCTCAGATTTTCTGAAGTGTACTGTATATTTCCAGAAATTTGAGACTTGTGATACATTCTTGCTTTTGTCACCTGATGTTCAGGGCACAGGGACAATTATTTGGTATTTATTATTATTATTATTATTATTATTTAGTCATTCATTTTTTCATTTTGTTGAATGACATGTTCTGCTTATAAGCTTCTTCTTCAGTGTTTGAGATCAGATCTGTGATGGTTGAATAATGGTTGATTTTAGTGTTTGTACTGTGGATTCAGGAAGAGTTGTTGGAGTTCTTTGTGTACTGTAGTGGGATGAAGACACAGCCTTGGAGGACACCACTGACAGGTATGATATTTATTGAAGTGTGGCTACTTAGCTCAGAGACCCGCAGGGACATGAGTAAACAATTTCAAACAGAGTTTTGGTCAGTAATACTAGCTGACTGATAGATTCAAGCCAACATTTAGATTTCATATTCGTTAGCAATTTCCCAAATTTAAACCAAAAGATCAGATATAGACACAGATGAAGCAATTTTACTGAATGATTTTTGACAAAGAGAATATCTGTGGCACAAGTATCGGGATATGAGTTTTATTCAATGTAGTGTAGTATTGTTCACGCAGAATACCGTTTTGGTGACATGTTTCGTCTGACTGGAACAAATAGCATTTTTGAGTGGCCCAGACAGAGTTTCTACTTGAATCTGACGGAGAATCGGTAAAGGGAGATAAAAGATTAAGGTGATGCTAAGGATGCCTCCAAACCTCAAACACTTGGAGTCTATTACCAAAAATAAACCCTCAAAAAACCAGTAAAGGTAATGCCAATAAAGGTTTGTACACTAATTATTGATAAACCTAGACATATCATTTAGAGGGGGAGCAAAAGGGGCATGTGCTCAAGTCCCCCCTGCACGTGCCTGGTTGAGCTCCAGTTAGCCGCCTTATCTCACTGTGCGAGAGGCAACTGCGTCGTGTGTCACGGACAAAAGGTCAAAGGTAAACAAGGTGAACAGAGGGCTCATTATGTTGTACAAACCCCCCCACCTCCCCAACAAAAAACAAACAATTTTAGTACATGTTATCATGTGTCAGAAGAGGGCTTAGGAAAAAATAAAAAAAAAAAATAAATAAATATTTGACCAAAAGGGCACTTGAGGGCAAGGAGCCAAAGGGGCAGGTGCTCAAGCCCCCCCTCTGCACGTGCCTGTCCGTCACCCAGGACATGGCAAAACTAAAGAAGGCTTAAAAATAATGCAACTTAACAAGTTATAATTTAAATAGGACATAACTTGTATTGGGAGCCATTTCAATAAATCAATATTTATGAGGAATTTTATTAAGAGCAGTTACTCATAATGCTTTTTTTATTTAGAACCTTAAATTTTTGTGAAGGTGTAGCAGAGATTAGATCAGTGAGACTGAACAAAACTCGTATGGAAGCAACATTTGAGTTTTAGTTTTACTTCTCTGCAGGCTGCTGACTGAGAATAAAACATGTTTGATGTGCATTACTAGTCATTTTTGGTCCTGCAGCTTGAATGTGGTTTAAAACTTGTAAAACCACATTTTACGTCATATTTCAATGGAACCTCGCCGACCCCCCCAAAATTGGTCTTATGAAATTTTCCTGTCTATGGTGTCCCCCAATAATGAGATGGGATGTACGCCCTTGATTAGCATAAATACTTTTATAGTACAAAAGAAAAGTTGAGTTTTTGTGAATCTGTTAGAGATGACTCCTCACCGAGCCATTCATACACACAGCGATTCAAAAGTGGTTTCTCAGAATCCTTACAGCTTTATTTTCTGAGATGGACTGTCCATGCAGATTACAAGTGTGGACAGTCTTCTTTAGAACAGAAAGTTTGGGCTTTTACTTTATTGTAACAAGATCAGACGCTGGCAACAACAATAGTCTTTCCTGAACAACACTGGGAGGTCCGTTTGCTGGTAAAATTGCGGTAAGGAAAGTTGTATTTAGACATTCTGTGGTAGTGATATCACCGACACAGTCATCTCTTTTACTTGTCTTATAGCTGTGTCTCTATCAAATGAGATGGTAATAACTAGAACAAACTGTATGTGTCTTTCAGTCGTTTTGGGCTTTTTTTTACTCTAATATTTGGTTGCGGTGCTTATATTCAGTAGCACTCCTGTCTTCTGTGACGCCATTGGCTGATTAGGGTGAGTAAAACCCAGAACTTATTAAAACTGAAAGCTAATGAAAGTCATCCATAAAATCATTTCCAGTGAAGTAATAAGAACTTTTAAATCTGTTTTTACATGTATGTATATAAGCAGGGAATGTCCGTTTCTTCAGTAAGTAATATGAATGTTTTGGTAAAGGTTATATATTACATCACTTGTAGAGCACACATTTTAAATTTTGTTTAAATAATGTTCAAAATGAATTACACCTTTTTGCATTCTTAAATTTGCATGTTCCCCGGCGCAGAGGTGACAAAAGCTTTTCAGGCTTGTAGGGAAGTGAAACATTACCGCCCGCTATTTTTGACTTACTGACTGAAGAGACTTCACACAGTCTGGTTAAGCAGCATGTCTGCATCATGCATGTTGTGCTGAAGACGACGAGTTTACTCAAGAAAGAGGAAGGAGGGGAACGAAAACGATTGTAACACCTAATGTAGTTGGAGCGGCTACTCCTACAGCTACGTCACACACATGACAGAAACAATATGAAAATGAGTGAGGATAAACACACAGGGCTCTGTTTCTGTTTCCACCTTGTTGATGCTGACATTTTCCCATACAGAGGAGGGTTGCCCCGTCTGCGATGGGGAAGTCCTGTTGCCAGTCCCTTTTTTTTCCAGCCCAAAGTTCTTTGGATTGTACTTACATTGTATTTTGGGGGAAAGCCATTGGATGAGATGATTTCTGTTTTTTTTTTTTTTTTTTCAAAAGGTAGATGAAAATAAGATTGACTTAGATATAGGTATTTTATATTTTTGGCCAATTTATCTCATAAAGTTTTTCTTTATATTAAAGAACTTTTTTGCACTGTCATTAATAAAAATGGCATCTTACAATTTTTTTCTCTTTTTGCCCTTTTTCTTACACTTACATGTTTTAGTTGAAATAAATTTTGACATTGGTCAAAGATAACCCATGTAAGTGTAAAATGAAGTTTTTAAATAAGAATTTATTTTGGAAAATGATCTCCAGACCGTCCTTACCCCACGTAAAAACATAACTATCTCCTAAACCTAAATTGACTGTTCCTGTCTCAGTGGAAACATTAAGTATTTTGAATATCTGACGACAAATACTGGATATATTTGTGGAAGAATTTTGGCCCATTCTTCCTTGTTGGATTGTTTTAATTCAGCCATGTTTTTCAACCACGAATGGTCATATCACAGCATTTTGAGCTTGATTTAAATCTATGCTTTCAATAGATAACCCTATTTTTTAGCCATACAGGATAAGTGGGGGAGAGGTAGGGAGCAGCGTGGGGGTGTGTGTTCAAAAGTATGAAACAAAAAAAAAATAGGGCAATATTTCATTGTTTAATTTATTAAGAGAGCCAAAGATGTTGCTTCAGGGATGCAGGTTCCAGAAAGCTGTGATCCTACCTCAATATAACTGAATCTAAAATAAATATTTCCTACTGTCTCTTCAGTACAGGGGACCATTACAGGAGCCAGGACCAGTTTTACAAGGACACTGGCCCCAGCTGGCCCCCATCTAGAACCGCCCTTGGCTGGACATTCTCCTGTAGGATTTATTTAGTAGAATTCATAATTATTTCATTTATAGCAAGTTGTCCAAATTCTGAAGCAGATGCCATGATTGACTGTCAATAGACGTTCTTTTAAAAGAAAATTAAAAAAGGCTGTGCTAGCGCTGTGCCAAGTGTAGTCGGATCCACACTTTCCAAAAGATCCAGTTGGAGTCATTTTGGTTACCCAGCCATTCTGGGGAAATTTCCCCACGTTTCCATTTTTCCCCAGTTTGTGGATAACGGCTCTCACTGCTCTTTGTTGGAGTCTTTAAAAAAAGCCTTGAAAAAAAATCTTTGTAAGTCTTTTAACAATGACAGATCTCATTGACTTTGTTCCTCGTGTTCTTGAATCTGTTTTGGGCATGACATGTTGCCTGAGATCTTTTATCCCGCTTCATTTTGTCAGACATATTTTATTTAAGTGATTCATTCATTTTACAAGGCAAAAAACAAAATAGTGGCTTTATCTGTGAAAATAAACTGAATCTGTGAGGAAGTGTATTCTTTCTTACTACACTTGTGTCTTTGTAAAGCTAAAATATTTTTTAAAGATGCTTTGAAAAGGATTATTTACTTTAACAAAGACACAAAGATTGGAAATGTTTAAATTATGAACGTAGCTATAAGATCTATAACTAGCAAAGAGGAAATGACATAATTTGCCATAAAAAAATTATTTCTTCTTTATATAGAATTAGGTCTTTTTCTGAGTATGGGCTTAATATTCAAATTAGAGTGCATCTGAAAAGTTCAGTTTTTTGCCTTAATGGTGGGTGGCAAAACCCCCGCCTCATTTAGACACCCACGTTCCTTATCTGCATCTTTTTTTTTTTTTTTTTTTTGACATTAGTCGAAACTCAGATAATATCTTTTTGCAACAACTGAAATGCAAAGTAGAACTGAGGAAATGAACCATCTGTCGGCTTTTATTAGTTCACTGAAGGTCAGTTTCTATGGCACCTCAAAAAAAAAAGGTGTTAAAAAGAGGTGTGGAGTGAGCTGATGATGTATGCTCCTCGCCACGCTATAAAAATCATACACTGTGAGGAGTTAGAGCATACATCACCAGGTTCGCTTGTCCTTTCCGCCTGACTTCAGAGTAAATTCATCTAATGGTAAGAAAGAACTGGAATAAAAGAAAAATAATTACTCTCTTTTCTAAGCTAATTTTAACTTTAGAAAGCTTCAACTATCAAAATAACTATTTGACTTTTGTTGGCAACATTATTAAAAATACCTTTGTAATTACAAGTCAATGACCTACCTAAATCTTTGTTTAACAAAGACACATTGATTGGAAATGTTTAATTTATAACCGCAGCTATCATATCTATAACTAGCAAAGAGGAAGGTGAAGTAACATTTTTCTCTCAAACTTCCCCTCTGACACTGTCAAACAATCTAGATGACCTTATTGTCGTGGATCACTGCCTTTCTGCTGATCGGCGCAACAGCAGCTGATCAACAGGCTAAACTCAACCACTTTCCAGAAAACTGTAGGTTCTTTCAGCACACACACATTTGGCAATCTTCATTTGTGCCTCTCGCAAAAGTGATTCAGTTTGTCTAAATTTAGCACATCTCTTTGTTTGTCTCTCTGGATCTGTGTAGTTGCTGTGGCAAAACAAGGTAAAGATTCTGTCAGCCTTACCTGCCTTACAACCACGACTGGACCTGTGACATGGAAGCACAACAACGACGAAGAGTCCGACTTTAAAGACAACATGAGCCAGAGTGGCCATAATCTAACTGTGAGGGACGTGGAAGCACCCCTGCTGGGGGAATACAGCTGCTGGAGAGATGGAACAAAATTATCGTCGACCCTTCTGCTGCAGGAGACTGAGGAAGAAGAGGATATAAGTGAGTCTCATCTCTTTATCCATCTGCAATCCGTTCAACTGAAACTGGCTGAGTTAGTCACAGAACATGACATGTGACAATCTCTGGTGTTCTATTTTTAGTTGCACTTCCATTCACTCTTGTTGTTCATTATTGCAGATTCTTTGCTCACATGTCGCGCAAAGTCCTATGATTGTAACTTCAGCTGCAGATGGACTGAAGGCAGATATGGAGCTGTGCGCCTTGGAATCGGCCCTGACTGGTAAAGATGAATTCAATTAAGGAGACCAGGTTTAGTGCCTGGAAAGAGGCCGTAGTACAATTACTGTCAATTCTGGTAAAGATGCGTAAAAAGATATAAATTGATTAGGGTTTTTTCGTTTCGCTGTTATGACATAGTCTTATGCTAAAAATTTTTTTAAATATAACCCTCAATCTTACCACATAGTGTGGGAGGTGCCACAATTACTGACACAATAGAAAATTCTATAAAACAGGCAAAAATGAATAAATTGACTTTTCTGAGCTGTCAGGATGTGTAGGAGCCTGTGAGTTAAACCACTGAAATAATCCATGACTTCATGATGCCCCGTCATAAAAAAAAAATCATTGAATGGCACAGAGGCTCATTTATCTTAGCTGCTCTTAATCTGAGAAACAAGAGGACATGCCCTTTAAGTAAAGCATATGCAGGTTGATCTTCATAAGTCAGAAAAAGGAGAAGAATGATCGAGAAATAAAAAAATAACTACTTTCCCTAAACTTTTACATCTATACAGTCTGCAGTAATTAAAGAACTTAAAATAACCAAAATTGTGTAATTTATATTTTACTTTTTTTTAGGTTGGTCAGAGTGTCGAAGAGCATTTAATTAGTAATTTATGACGTAAATAAAACATGGTACAAAAGATTTTTTAATTTTTTTTGCTTATCCAATTTTGAAATGGGAAACACAAGAGAAACATTTCATTTCAGACAGACAAATGTGCATAGAGCTTTATAAATTAGGAAATATCTTGTAGAAAATAGTGACAGGCCTGAATTTGCCCATATCTCCACTAAGATCACAATTAAATCATTAAGAACGGCTTAAACTGTGACTAACTAGTTTGGACAAATAGCCATGTCTGTCCTTTGACCATGGATACTGAAGAAGGGACATAAAAAATCTTTAAAACTGACTGTCAGAGATCTATAGCAAACAGAAGCATTTTTGGTCACCAAGCCTCCATGATAACTTCATTTTCAGACTTTTATGCACATCTTTACCTGCAACTTTAAAGGGCGCTTTAGCTATAGGACGTCATTTATTGATGTAATAATTTGGTATTGATATCTGACATCTGTGGCGTTGTTTGCCTCTACAGCACTAATGGTCTGCCAACATGCCACTGGGTGAGCAGCAGTGCCCAGCCTGACAGCGAGGGATTCCAGTTTGAACTGACCCACAACCTCTCATCTTTTGGTGAGGAAAGCACCATGCTGGAGGTCACCGCTGAGGCCATCGACGATGACTTCCTCTTCCTCAAGAAAACCAAAAAGTTTTATCTTAGAGACATTGGTGAGTTGCATGAAAATAAGGGAAAATTTAAACAACTCAGTCGAAGATTACCAGCAATTTCACAACAATCTTAAAAAGAAAAAGCTATTAGTAAAGAAGCTAATTTCAAATGACAAAGGACAGGAAATCAAGTATTAAGAACTGGATTAAAACTTATCATTCTATATTTCTCTCATAAATATTGCAAATGTTTTTCCCCATTTTTATGCTTTTGCTTTTGTTTTGCCCCTCTGCAGTTGTACCTGACAGCCCCCGGATTGTCAGCATGAAGGTGGTGCAGTCGCAGCTGAATGTCTCCATCGAGCCGCCGTCCAGCTGGTCAACTCCTCACAGCTTCTTCGCTCTGGAGCACGAGATTGAATACATCCTCAGAGACAATGGAGAGGTAAAATGACCAGACTCCGAACCGCAGCCTTGGGTTTCAGGGTTGTTTCATGTTCTTTCTTTCATATTTTGTTGTCTGACTGTGGTTTCTGTTTGACTTCAGACCATAATCTCTTCATCTTCTCTGATACCAAAGAAGATCAGCAAGCTGAGGGCCCGGTCCAGAGATCCATTGGTGTTCTCAACTTGGAGTCAGTGGACTCCGTGGAAAAATGTAACCCACTGAAGTTATCTGATCGCACTTCTTTCAGCTTCCACTCTTTGTATGCTCTCACGCGTTCCGCATGTCTGCAGCGTCTTCTCGTATTTATTAGGAGAGACTTTGATGATGTAACCTTCTGCCTACCCACAAACCATCTGGGGCCCACCGATGATTGAATTTTAACACAGACCATAAAACGTTTATACTGAGAAAGAGAGTACCATTAAGTTTGATTTCACAGTTTCAGCATAAATTAAAAGACAAAATCATTTAGAATTGAAGTTTAATATCTAAAGCGACTTGCAGATTTATTTTGTAAAAATACAAAAAACAATATTTATTGTTTAATTTTCACAACCTGACACTACAAGTTAAATTATATCCTTATGTTTGACATTGGTTTGTTCACAAATACATCTTAGCCAATAACAACCTGTGATTGCTTTTAGTTTCAGCCAGTTAAACTTGGCCCCCTCTACTGTATTTCACCAAATTAAATGTATTAGTTGTGGTGTTGTCCTTGACCCAAAGAGGGGCCCAAAATCAAACTCAGTTACATTCGTGGTCCAGACTTCTGCTCAAAAAGTACAGTTTTTTATATGCTATAGACAAAATGTTTATTTATTTTTTTATATTTAATCTTATTTTTTATATATTTATTTGTGCTATAAAAATAATTATTTATGAGTATTTATTAATTTAAAAGTTTACAGAACACTTATTGCCTATGTCAAGTCTGATACGTCGTTGCGGGGGTCTGCTTCAATGTCTGACATCACAATGTATGTTTGTTATTTTTGTTCGTATGTTGGTGTTTCTGTGGACTTCTGTGGTTTTACGCAGAGCAAAACAAATGAGTATTAAAAGAGCTTTCTGCTTCCTTCCTTATACATGTTCCTTCTTCATTTATGTGTTGCCTGAGTGATGTATGTATGAGCTCAACAACTCAGAGAAATTCCCTTTTAAAGCGATTCTTGGTGGACGCTGTCGATTCAAATGTCTTTATAAGGCGTTAGAAACATCACGCCTTTGCCGTACAGATGAGGAACTAATTTGAATATGCTAATTAATCAAATACTTTGTGCCGATATATAAAAAGGAAGCACACTTTCAAAAACCCACAAAAAAATAGACCCTACCCTAAGTGTGCCATGGATCTGTATTCAGCTGTCCTGAGTCAATACTTTTATTACAGTTACTGCTTTGAGTCTTCACGTTTGTCCCTTCTTAGCTTTGTCAGTCTAGAGACTGAAATTTTTGTTTGTTCTTTGCAACAAAGTAGTTCAAGCTCAGCCAGAACGAATGGAGAATTTCTGCAAACTTCACATTTCATATCATAACACACTTTATCCAGTTTTATTTAGGTATGGAATTTGACTAGGCCATTCTAGCGTATTATAATGATTTGATTAAAACTATTCCATTAGAGCTCCAGTCATTCTTCAGGACTGTTGTCCTACTGGAAGGTAAACCTCCAACGCTGTCTCAAATCTTTTGCAGACTATTTATTTACTTACAACACTGCCCTGGAACTTACTGCTGCTACTACTACTGCTAGTAATAATAATAATAATAATAATAATAATAATAATAATAATAATGGCTTTTATTTAACCTGATAAAAGTTGAGGTCTACAATACTTTTTCAAGGGGAACCTGGCAAAATAGTAGCACCATTTACAAGTATCAACATTTACATTGAACAAAAGAAATAGATTCATTTTTCCATGATCCCATCAATAAAATGCATCCACATATCATAATGATCCCACTGCAATGTTTTCATGGCAGGGATGCCATGAAAACACATCAGTTTAATGTGTTTTTGTAGCAAACAAGACTTTTCGGTAACACTTTATTTGAAGGGGGTTGAATAAGACTGTCATGACATTGTCATAAACATGTCATAACACCTGTCATGAACATGAATAAGCCTTCATGAATATTTATGACTGTTGTCATAAAGCGTCATTCGGTAAATCATGACACTTTTAATACAAAGTTGACATTATTCAAAATGTCTTTGCTATGACAACTTGACATTAACCAGGAAATCATTACTGTTTAAACTTTACCTTTAATAACATAAAGTTACCTGATTTTTAAAGTGCAATCAGTAATACTTTTATAACAAATTTATATCAGTAATGATTTCTTGGTTAATGTCAAGTTGTCATAACAAAGACATTTTGAATAATGTCAACTTTGTATTAAAAGTGTCATAATTTACCGAATGACTCTTTATGACAACAGTCATAACTATTCATGAAGGCTTATTCATGTTCATGACAGGTGTTATGACATGTTTATGACAGTGTCATGACAGTCTTATTCACCCCCTTCAAATAAAGTGTTACCAACTTTTCTAACAGGCCAGAGAGATTAATTTCACCCTGATCAGAGTATCTTCTTCCACATCAGACAGTAGATTTAAGACTTCTTGCAGCTTTTTGTAACAATGCAGTTCCTCCATGAAGGTCAGACTTAGAGACTTCACCAGTGATAGTTGTGTTTTCCTTTCTCAACCATTGACCTCTGCTGCTCATCTGGAGTTTCCGTTTCTTAAGTGCTTCTCTGATTTGTTCTCTCCTTCATGTTCCTTGATCTTCATAATGTTGTTTTCCACTAATGTTCTGTAACAAACCTCCAATGCCTTCGCCAATCAGCTTTATTTATAAAAAGAAATGTTTTGTAATCCACGTATCGCCTTTCCTTCGCTTTACGACTGTTCACTTTTTTGTGTCGGTCTGACATATAAGCTTCATTTATTGTTGCAATATAACAAAATACAAAAAATAATAAAGAGGAAAGAATACTTTTGAAAAACCTGCTGAAATGCTAAAATATAAAGAGGTATTTACATGTAAATGCCACTTTATTCCATTTAAGTCACTTTACAATGTTAATGGAATAAAGGCATAAAGTGACTTAGGGAAGAGATGAAAAGAAACGTGTTCTGTCATCCCTTTAAAGAATAAGGCAAACTATGAGTAAATGTCTAATATTTTGCCTTATCTTAATGAGTTAAATTTATACTTGTGACCTCTTCAGTGTAATTAAAACTGCCACAGAGAGATAGGCAGTAAACATCTAGGATTTTTTTAGTCACATGACATTGTGGTGATCTTTTTTTTTCCAGCCTTACACTCATCACAAAAGAAATTCATCTGATTATTTTTGGATAATAGATCATGCTAAAATTCTAAGAAAAATAAGCACAAAGAATATGCAACAAGAAATCCCCCACCTTGTGAAAAGGATCCAGCTTGGCTCCGAATGCTGTCCAACAAAAACGCTTAGCATTCGTTTTATTAGTCATTCACAATCTTTGTCATCACATGATCTTCCAATTTAGAGTTTCTATGAATTTGGACAAACGCATTTTCAGTTGTCACGCTATCATTTCAATGTCTAATCTGTTGCTGTTTTATTGCAGTGGAAGAATTCATGCCAGTGTAGAAAGAAACAGACATCTGAGCTGTCACCCAAGTGTTTGGAACACTGCAAGAGGAAAATGGAGAGAAGAAGAACTGAGCAAAGTCAAAATCTTCTGAAATGAAGGCGTTTTTGACAGAAATGTACACATTTGAAATTAGAGGGAACATGTTGGGACACAACACAGCACTGACAGATCGATTTAAGTTTTTAATGAAAAAAAAAAAACCTCCAAAAAACAGTTTTTCATTTGATGCATTTACATGAGTGAAGAACGACTTAAGTCATCGATCTGTGTTGGAGTTATCTGGTTTCAAAATACAAAAATGCATGCAGAGTGGCTGTCAGACAGTTAGGAGGCTGAAGCAGAAAAACAAGGAAAGGAATAAAACATGAGCAGGGAAGCCACTGCCAGGTCAGTGACCAGGAGGCACAGAGTGGGGATTTTTTTGACCTTCTGTGGTTTGCATGAAGCTGGGAAACTTTAGTATTGTACAAACAAACAAATTTCACCCACAGGATTGCAGTTGTGTGTGTTTTTTTTTTTTTTTGTTTTTTTGTTTTTTTTTTACCTCGGCTCCCCCTGCAGTTGTGGCACAAAACAAGTTCGCTGTAAAATCATTGCATTAAATCCTTTAACGTATTGAAAGTGTCTGTTGAGTCATCCAATAAATTAGAAAACATTTGCTCCAACGTGGATTGTTGGCCAGAAAATAAAAACCTTGAAACAGCTATCAAGCCCACATTATGTTTTCCTTTTAAAAATTATTTCTATAGTTTTGATATTCTGATGTTAACTGCTATAAATTGAAATTGTTTCCAATCAGCAGAAATAAAAGCTTGAAACATTAATCCGTATGTTCTTAAACTGCATATGGAACCGCTTGAGGAATTGACCCACTATGATTTTAATATATTAAAACTCTGCTAAGATAGATTTTCCAGGACACATACTTTCTTATTTCTTCTTATTTCCTTTATTTCATACAATTCCCTGTGTAACATTTATTATTTTTCATTGCAATTCTCCCCTTTCAGATCTCCTTTCCTCCATTATTTTAATGATTTATGAAAAATAAATCCATATTTTTTTCAGTCAACTTTGTACCTAATGTTCACCCAATTGCCACAGTCAATTTGTTTTAATGTTTTTCATAATTTGATGGCAATAAATACAAATTCAATTACCCATGTGTTTTTTCTTGTTAAAAGAAGTTACTTATCATACTCCATAACAAATAAAAGAGCATCTTCTTTAAAATCTCCTTTGAAAAAATCAGCTGAAAAATCCAAAACATATGTAAAAAAATATTAGTAAACATATAACCCTACATTTTCTTTATTTATTACATATGTTCAATAAATCATGAGGCTCGTTTGTCAGAGTATTGACAGTAACAGTCAGGCAGGAGATGAACATACATTTAATTAATCCAGCTGTGTGTTTGAGTAATTAAATGTCAGTAGTGTTTTTTATTAGTCTGATGTAATATGTCTCATATGTCATGGTTTTTATCAACTGAAGATAAAAAAAAATCATCATAATTAACAGAAGTAAAGGCCTGAAAACATCATGAAATAATTCTAGAATATGATTCACTGAAATATAAAAATAACAAAACAGAAATAAATGCATTTAGTCATATACTTTTAGGTAGTTGCTCATCTAAAAATTTGCTGCAGAGTTTGTTCCGATCATCTCAGCCCCTTTTTGGGATCTGTTTTCGGACATGAGCCATCTCTGGACAAAGCGATCAAATTTAGATTTACATCACATCACATCGATTTTATACTTGACATGTTTGTAAAACACCTCCATATCACATTTGTTGTAATTTAAGTTTTTCCTTCTTCTTCTGTGACACACTTACCTCCTGCTGCACCGGGGGCACAGCCGCCCCCACACCGTCCTCACCGTGGCCTCCCGCAGGGCCGGGCTCCCCCACAGGTAAACGGACGGAGTAGAAACGGCATTTAAACGGGCCAGGATCGCAAAAAGGTTCGTGGCTTCATTTCTGAACGTCAGCCCCCCTCCTGTAAAGAACTTTATGGCAATATTCACAAAAGAGGGACACCACAACACCAGGAAGCTTATCACAACAAAAATAATGATCTTCAGCGACTCCCTCTTGCTCTCTCTCTCTGGACCTGGGGGCTCCCTCTCCAGCTGATACTTTGCTACAACATAAAGTTTGATAGTCATGACCACTTTGGTGAGCACTATCAGCTGAAAGAAGATGATTCCAAACACATACAGCTGTGTGGCTTTGGAGATTGGCAGCAGGTTCCTAACCACCAGATTTGCAGCATTGTACAGCCAGCAATAGACGTTTATTCCTATCACAACCTGCCGTGTTATGAAGCGGCTGTAGACAAATGGATAGCATACAGCAAAATACCTGTCAAACTGAGCAAACAGAAAGGTCAGGATGTTGACCCCTAGCAGATCCCGTAACACACTGTATGTCCCGTTTCTGAAAGGATACCCGTCATGAACATCGAACAGGCCCAGGTAATACACAGAGAAGCCCACCAGAGTGTCACAGATGCTGGTGTTCAGCATGAAAATGAAACGGTTCTGAAGGCGGAGCGCTCTGGTGGCCGAGATCCCGATCACCACCGTCCCTGCAACCAGGACGGTGGTGGTGGCGAACAAAATCTGGAAGATGAAGATGAAGTAGTCCTCAGGACTGCTGAAGTCCACAGAGAGAGGAACTCCTGCTGCTGCAGAGTCTGTCATGTTGGACAGGAGCATCGTTAATGAAGCTCAGCCACAGACATCGGTATTTATGCTCTGTGATGTCACTGGAGATGAACTCCTCAGAGTTTAACTCAATTATCTCTTCAGACTTTTGCAAAGGTTTCTAACTCATGTAACCAAAACAATAAAGGTATTTTATTGACTTTTTATGTGATTGAAACTATAATTATGAAATTGTATGCCACTTACACTCAGTGACATATAATTTTGAAGTGGCTTACAATATGCACACCACCCTTTTCAGCTTTTTGTTTGATAAATAAAAATTTAAACTGTGTATAATTTTTCTTCTACTCCACAATTCTTCACCACATTATTTGGTCTTTACAATAAGATCACAATATTCAGTTTTGTACTTGAAATGTAAGACGGTGATGGAATAAATTATGAAGACAAACATATAATTCAACTATTTTATTGAATGTCATTTGTTCATGGGTTGAAACCATATTTTTTGTACTTTGTCTTTTTAATGAAAGTGTTCAGTTTAGTTTTTGTTTACATTACAACAAATAGAACACCAGTAGAGATTCTTATTCACACATTTGAAATGTTTTCCCTTGTTTTTTTCCCCTCTCCTGTTCCAAACAAAATCTATAGACATGACATTTTTGAAGAAAAAAAATCCCTTTGTCATAATTTCAAGTATTTTCTAAAACCCAAAACCGGAAGTGAAACCAGCTACTTCGTCTTGGCAAAGAATGATTCATTCGAGCAACGCGCCACACACAGACATGATTTATTCTTTATTTCTTTAGCTGCATTCACACGAATTTTTTTTTTTTTTCCTAACAGCACTGGGTCTTGATTGCACGCATTTAGAAAACAAATTTACTGCGAGCCTAAACCACTGAGATATAATTTGAGTTGCATATTTTTTACTTCAGAAAACAAAACATAAAACTGTTTGTCTCTGTAGGACGTCAGGTTTCGGAAAATTTGACAGCACGGAATCCTCCCTTAAATTACGGGGATATTTGCGCACAATATGCACCAAGGAAGCGCAGCAATGCTCACGCACCAGTTAGTGATGGTTATCATTGCTCAATAGTCTCGTGGTTATTAGTAGGTTTTCTTTAGTTTTACGCTGAGGCACGGGGATGTGGATGAAACTGATGAGGAAGCAAAGAAAATGTTTTCCTGTTGCTGCAAAAACAGCTGAGCTGAGTTTCTTCCGTCATGAAATCCAGTTCGAGGAATTTTATCCTGCACGAGGCTGGGAAACGTTTTAGTCTATGAAAAGATGAAACTGTATTTTATTAGAGTACGTGAGTAAAACAAACAAACAAACAAAAAAACAGATAATTAAAAAGTACAACAAAGCGAAATAGATTTAAAAAATGAGAACAAGGAATGTGTGAAGTTTAGAACTTTGTTCAAAGTTCTACGGAAGAGGATTAGGGCCACTGGAAAAAAAAAGAAAAAAAAAATCTGTTTTTTTTGTTGTTTTTTTCCCAGTGGCCCTAATCCTCTTCCGTAAAGTTCAGACAAATTCTCAACGTTGTAAAAATAATATTGGGGTTGAATTTAGGAAACTAACATTTGAATAAAAGTGAGGAAAACAACTTAGAATTTGATGATTTATAATTTCTTTAACTGAAGAAATGAGGAACATGGAGGCAGAGGAGCATCATAGTTCCAAGAAGACATAAGAGAACACATCTTAACAGGAACTTTGGCGAGATGTAAACATGTTTCTCTGAATTTGGGGTCAACCCTTATCACACAGAACGGGTCGAGGCTTGAAATATGTCCCAGGAATGTTATTTAATTTATAAACTTAGCACCCCAGAAATTTGAACCAAAAAACTACATTTGGAAATTTGAGGGAGATTTACAATTCTATAATAGTAGAATAATATAATAGCAGTCAAATCAGCAAGTTTAGATTAGTTTTAAAAAATAAACTCTTTTTCTAATTAAAGCAACACAAGGGTAGAATATGCAGGCTGTGATACTACACTTTTTAAGATCAGTCTTATTAAACTGAATCAGTATTACTGTACTGTATTGACAAAGATTATGAACTTAACCAAAAAACAGAAAACAAAAGCATCTTATCTACACTAACGCAGTACTGTTAAAATTATTTTCACAAAATAACAAAAGTGGAAGAATATATTTTTGTTCATCTTGGCGCCTCATTGGGATATGCCTTCGAACAGGAGCCACATCTGGACATGAAAAAAGAGCTTTTATGAGTTCAAACTGCCATTACTTGATGGGATAATTTCTCATCAATTATCCATAAGAATCACACCTGTTTAGAAAGCAACTTATAGGGAGACTTTTATCTTTCCTGATGCCTTACAGAAATGAATAACATTCAGTTGAACTGAATAGTGACTGCACTTTTTTCCCAAGACGCACTTACTGTCTCCTGCTGCACTGGGGGCACAGCCGCCCCCACACCGTCCTCACCGTGGCCTCCCGCAGAGCCGGGCTCCCCCACATGTAAACGGACGGCGTGCAGACGGCATTAAAACGAGCCAGGATCGCGAAAAGGTTCGTGGCCTCACTCCTGAACGTCAGCCCCCCTCCTGTAAAGAACTTTATGGCAATATTCACAAAAGAGGGACACCACAACACCAGGAAGCTTATCACAACAAAAATAATGATCTTCAGCGACTCCCTCTTGCTCTCTCTCTCTGGACCTGGGGGCTCCCTCTCCAGCTGATACTTTGCTACAACATAAAGTTTGATAGTCATGACCACTTTGGTGAGCACTATCAGCTGAAAGAAGATGATTCCAAACACATACAGCTGTGTGGCTTTGGAGATTGGCAGCAGGTTCCTAACCACCAGATTTGCAGCATTGTACAGCCAGCAATAGACGTTTATTCCTATCACAACCTGCCGTGTTATGAAGCGGCTGTAGACAAATGGATAGCATACAGCAAAATACCTGTCAAACTGAGCAAACAGAAAGGTCAGGATGTTGACCCCTAGCAGATCCCGTAACACACTGTAT